ATCTGAATCCTCTTACCAACCATCATCACCCCTCTTGGAACCCCTTCAAACTTGACTTTTGTCTGCATATCCGGTGTTCCAGCTTGCTGTTTCGTGACCTTATTTAATATTTGAGACGAAATATTCGGCAGGAGAAGGCTTTAATGTAGTAAGGTTGTGCAAGGAGTGGTGTAGCGGGCAACAGCGCGTAACGAGCTGATTCGGAGGGTATTCCCTGCGGCTCCCGACACACCCTAACCGGTTGGCCCATACCAGCGACTTTCGCTCACACCGGTTGTGGGGGGGAAGCAGCTCGAGCCGGCACCACAGCCACTCCTCTCCCATGTTACCTTGTCGGGCCTGTGGTAGTTTTGACACGACTCTACCTTCCTATGAATAGTAACTACAAGTTTACTTTTACGAAAATCAAATTTCTATTTCAATCAGCTATCGTCAATGATTTATTAAAATAATTACTGCCATTACTTCCAATGAAGTTACACTCCGCACGCCGAGTATGCTAATAAAGGATAATGCTATGGGAAGATACATAGACGGACTGGTGTGCTTCCGTCCGAAGTATGAAGGAACGGGTCTGAAGGTAGCGGCACAGGCGGGTCTCGCAGTCCTGCCCGGGAACAAAGCGGACCCGCCACACCACAACAAAACTCCTCCACTAATATCTCGTCGACAAATTAAAACAAGCAGCCGCGAAATGCCAGCAAATTTATGCTCAGGTCCCAAGGGCCTCGCCGTCACCTTTTATAGGAGGGAGCGGCGAGCCTGAGGCGTCAAACGCGGGCGTGTGTCGACAGCTTCGGGTGTGTGTTGCTGCAGCTCCGAGCAGCTCGGAGCATCGCCAAGCGCGTCCTTGTCGAAGTTATCGGTCGTGATATATTGCCGGAACATAGTTCTAGATCGTCACATACTCAAAGAATGTTCCATTTTGAAGAACTTTGACTTTGAAATTACACGAAGTTTCTTCGAACTTCACTTCGACTTCGTTAATTCTTCAGGAGAAACTAAAGAGATCAGTGACAACTTCCGTTGTTGAAGGCAACAGAGGGGATCATTCTCGAGTTTTGAGCATTAGTAGTGCAGACGTTGTCAATACTGCCATGCTGTGCTCAGCTTATGCTCCAACACCAAACGGCATTAGTGCGTAGTATTACAGCAACGGTATTATTGTATGTGTTTTGACGTTGATCAGTGCATTTGTGCCCTGAATTCTAACCGTGTATAAGTGGACTAATATAGTCTTTTCCTTCGGATATATCGTATTAATTATAATATTTAAATACGTGGTCTGTTCACCTGAATTAATGCAATATAAAATAAGAGTCAAATACGAAATTTAAATAGAATTTTGTATAGTACAATATCCAAATTAATATTAATTATAAATATGTAAACGATAACAAATGTCTTAAAAACAAAAGTAATTCTAGAAAATCAAGCCAGAAATATTAGATACCGCAAAGCTTACCGTAGTCTATAGGGTGTAGGTTCACCATACTCGTAAGTCCTGAAGGACGTTTAAAGGAATATTCTTTAGACAAGCTTCACCTCGAAGCCTCAAGACGCGTGTCAAGCAATATACATTAGACGAGTTTGATCAGGAAGCCTCAAGACGCGTGTCAAGCAATATACATTAGACGAGTTTGATCAGGAAGCCTCAAGACGCGTGTCAAACAATATACATTAGACGAGTTTGATCAGGAAGCCTCAAGACGCGTGTCAAACAATATACATTAGACGAGTTTGATCAGGAAGCCTCAAGACGCGTGTCAAGCAAAATACAATAGACGAGAATTGATCAGGAAGCCTCAAGACGTGTGTCAAACAAAATACATTAGACGAGTTTGATCAGGAAGCCTCAAGACGTGTGTCAAACAAAATACAATAGACGAGAATTGATCAGGAAGCCTCAAGACGCGTGTCAAGCAATATACATTAGACGAGTTTGACCAGGAAGCACCAATGATCCCGTGTGTAACCTTTCACCTTGGGCAGTTCAACCAGCTGTATTCCATGAACGTTGAGGGTGAGTTGAGAGACGGTGGGCGGTAGCCTAAGGGGATACAGTTTCCAAATGATTCTTTGTTCTCTGTATTCTCTCATATTCTGTTCTCTTATTTTCTATAATCTCTTATTTTATCTTCTCTCTTATTTTATCGTCCATTCTCTCATTTTATCTGTTTATTATTCGTTATATTCTCTCAAATTAGATATGCTTTCATATCAGTTTTCTCTTGTTCTCTATTATTTTATTCTTTCATTGTCTTGATTCTTATTTTCTCCATTCTCTTTCTCTAATCTCTCTCCTTTTTTATAATTAATATCACCTTTCAGAAAGTCTATAATAATAGTCTATAGTAAGGACCTCTTTCTTAAGTCTCCCTCTCATCAAATAAACTTTTCCACCCATATCAATTTGATTTTTGCTTTAATTTTTGTATTCTGGTCATTTATATAGTTACCCTAGACTATATGAAGGGTGGCATAGTGTGTGTCAGTAGCTACGTGATGGGGACTTTTTTTGTATACTTAAAATGCTTAAAAAGCATTTTTGTAATGCCTAAAATGATGACGTGATGCTTACAAAAAAAACATGTAGGGTGGTTAGAGGGGGCATGTGAGCAGTAGTCTATGATTACTGATCACATACCGGGGCATGTGATCAGTAGTCTATGAAAAAAATCCTAAAATTTCCCTAAAAAATTTCATCACACAGCATATAAACTCTACGGGTTCAACACGCCATTTTTTATTTACATTAGCCAATTGTAGTAGCATTGATATATATGCTTACAAATACAATCGAAACATTATTCCATTTGGTAAGGCATACAACTTGCCCCCTATTATTACCAACGTCAGACAATTACCAATTATAATTGGTACTTTCGCGTCAATGATCTGGGGAGATTTCTACAAGCGGTTTAATTAAAACATTGTTGCATGGTCCCTTTAGTGGTGACCGTGACACCGCCATGCTTAACATTAGCATTAAGGTAACTGCAGAAGGCCTACAGGCCCATGTAATGCCGCTCCTACTTATATCACCCCAAACTCATGCGCTTATAAATCTAACCTACGCTTGACGTTATCAAGTGATCCCGCGACTATTCGTAACATACCAGGTACGAGTTTGCAGACGAAGATCAGTTTTTTAACTACTGAAGTGCCGAGTGAGCTTTAATTGCTCAGGCACCTGAACTATCCCTTTTCGTGACGTTCTAGACAAGTTTGTGCCGTGCACATGGTGCTGGGATGGATATCGTGACGCGTAAAATCATTCGCCGGCAGCAGAGGAGCTGTTCACACACAATACGTGACCGCGCGAGTTTCAATCGGCGAGGAGTGGGCGTCTTCGACCTGCGGGCTGTCGAACAAGATTCACCTGCTCATGTGACCTCTCTTGGTGTCTGGCTTTTGCCGTGGCTCCTCACCCGGGCTGGGCACGCACTAGGGTACTGCCCGTTACGTCCACCTTCCTAGTTGGCACCATATCCAAGAGTGGCGGTGCTAGATCGAAGCTGAATTTAATGTTGATGGCGTTCATTTTACGTTGAATTGGCGTTGTTCTTCAGTATTCTGCCCACTGGGATGAGACGCATGATCCATGTTAGTTCTGCAAGTTATGGAAACCAAATTTTTCTTTTGGTAGCATGCAGTTGAAATATTTAATAGTCACAGTCAAAGATTAACTAATTCTCTCTGTTCTGGTATTAGTAAACGGTAATGATTTGGGTTTAACAGCTTTGTACGTTAAAAATATCTTTTATGTTTTCATATATTTTAACCATGCTAAATCTCCATGTTTGCCATCACAGGTTCTATGAAGATTATATTGATTATATTTTAAATGATTTAGCAGAATGTACACTATCTTAGAGTTACAATTTATATATATATATATATATATATATATATATATATATATATATATATATATATATATATATATATATATATATATATATATACATATATATATATATATATATATATATATATATATATATATATATACATATATATACATATATATATATATATATATATATATATATATATATATATATACATATATATACATATATATACATATATATACATATATATATATATATATATATATATATATATATATATATATATATATATATATATATATATATATATATATATATATATATATATATATATATATATATATATATATGTATATATATATACATATATATATATATGTATATATATGTATATATATATATATATATATATATATATATATATATATATATATATATATATATATATATATATATATATATATGTATATATATGTATATATATATATATATATATATATATATATATATATATATATATATATATATATATATATATATATATATATATATATATATATATATATATATATATATATATATATATATATATATATATATATATATATATATATATATATATATATATATATATATATATACATATATATACATATATATATATATATGTATATATATATATATATATATATATATATATATATATATATATATATATATATATATATATATATATATATATATATATATACATATATATACATATATATATATGTATATATATATATACATATATATATACATATATATATACATATATATATATATATATATATAGAGAGAGAGAGAGAGAGAGAGAGAGAGAGAGAGAGAGAGAGAGAGAGAGAGAGAGAGAGAGAGAGAGAGAGAGAGAGAGCAAGTCACAATAACATGGCTGAAAATGAATAACACAATCGGAGAAGATGAAAAGATATGAAAGTGATGTCTGTGTCTGTCTGTCTGACTGTCTGTCTGTCTGTCACACTCTCAGTTTACCATATTATACATTTATTGACACGTGATAAGAGTCTGTGTGCTTTATCTTGACATGTGATAAAGATACGTGTGTGCGCTTTATAATAAGGATATGTTGTTGTGTTTCAGGCGTGGACGTGACTCAAGAAAGCCCAATCGTCCCGGACGATACGCCAGCCGCGCCCCACCCCCCCTTCACGCCACCCCACAGCCACGCCCATAACATGCTCGTCCTCCAACCACAGGTCAGTATCTATCTTACGTCATCACTTGCTAGGTGTCGTCATTCCTGACGTCACAAATGCCCACTGGCACAACCCACCTGTCGAGTCCTTTCTACAAATGAGCTGTTTGGAATACAGGATTCTTCTCGGTCAAAATCACGGCTTTTATGTATTTCCAGGTCATTTTGAATTCGAGTAATGCAAAGTTGTTGACCAAACCACACACTAGAAAGTGTAGGGATGACGACGTTTCGGCGGTTCGTCCTGGATCATTCTCAAGTCGATTGTGAGAATGTGCCATTCACAATCGACCTGACAATAGTCCAGGACAGACCGAAACGTCGTCGTCCCTTCACTTTCTAGTGTGTGGTTTGGTCAACATATTTCAGCCACGTTATTGTGACTCCTCGTCTGCAATGCAAAGGTGATTCGAAATCGAGTCCTGTATTCAATCACATTTGTTGATGGGATAAAATGTGTACATTGTTCTAGTGTTCAATAGAGCGAATGAGTTGATAATAGGCATAGTTCTAGAGTTGTCTGTAGAGTAGCGTTGATATTAGCACCACTATTATAAAAGGGGGTATTAGGGTTAACAGCGTTTTGTTGGACAAATCCACAAGGGCCGTGACGAGGATTCGAACCTGCGTCCGGGAGCATTCCGGACGCGTTTTGTTGTGTGACAACATCTTCCTTCCCTCGAAAAATTTGCTACGAGGAGGGAATTATGTTCGGACTCCGCGTTGTCCGCTTATATCACATTTAGAGTACTACAGCTCCGTCTTCGGTAGAGTCGATGGTCTTCAAAGACAACGCAGATTAAACATATTCCCAGAATTCTTGCTGTTTATCGCGTGAATTGCAGGAAAATTCCTACGAATTCTGGAAGAGTCAAATGCGTCCTTAGATTATTTGATTTAAAACCTCCAGAAGATGGATCTTTGTTAAAGTGTTAAGCGATATTGCGTTTTGAAGTGAATGTAGGAGGAGAGGTGCCTGGAGCGTGCAGTACCTTTCTCGTCAGACCTTGAGGTAGGCGAGCAAGGGGGTGTGGCCGGGGGAAGAGTGGGGAGAGGGGGGGGATGCAGGCACTACTTACTCGGCACTGGGTGTGGTTCTCCATGGCCTAGTGCCAATGAAAGTGACAACACAGCACAAAGTGGAAGATATCCCTAGTGCGGCCGAGGGTGTGGGGCGGGGGTCGGGGGGGAGGAGAACCTGCTGCAGGTGTCGCCGCTTTGGCGACGCCCTCGTAGCCGCAGGAGGGCGCTGAGAATGTGGCTGCTTTCTCGAGGGGCCGGTCATTGATGTCGCTATTGAAGCCTCGCGCCATCTGCCCCCAAGACGCTGTTAATTATCACCAAACGGCGGGGGATAAGAGAGGAGGAACTGCAATGCAAAGGAGGTCAGTTTTTTTTTTGCCCCGCCGCCTCTATCTTGTAGGATCAGTAATGAGTAGCCTGAGCGTATCAGCGGAGGGCATCAGGGGTCACTCTCTTATTGTGGCTGTGGATGGCCAACCACAGCGCCGCCACTGACTCGTCCCAGAATGTTTGGTGCGCGGGCCTCCGACCTTTTCCATACTGCGTTCCTACTTTTCGACGCTTGCGGCGTCCTTGTATTGCAGCGAGCGGTGTATTACATGAGTAATACATGTCCTACTCTGAGTACATTTCGCTCACTTTGCGAATGATGAATACAGAGTGGGGAATGTGAGGAGTAAGGGAGTCTTGTGAGCTGTGGTGAGCGGTGGTGTGGCGGCGTAAGCAAGCTTTAGAGAGTGGCGGTACGCTTCTGACCAGAGACCTCGCTACAACACCAATTATCAGCTTCTTGCAAATCATTGATCGAAATTAATATCGACACGGTAAAATGCAACGTTAAAAAATAGATGCAAAATATCTTTACAGCCTATTCATTGTTCTTTAGGCAATTAACCAACATCAGTATCCATAAATCCATCTTCCACGAGCTTGGTGGTCAAAATAATTACTAGTATGGATTACATTTACCGTCATGGATAAATACCGTTTCTTCTAAGGCCAATACAATAATTTTAAGACAAAACTTGGATTATCATCTCCAACAATGTATCTGATAAGGAATGATCCTTTAGCTGCATAAATCGGTACTTAGATAATATTAGAGGTAAAGCTCTGGAATAAAGGGGAAATCATAATAAAGATGGATATAAATGAATATAAAGAAGAGAGAGAATCAAACAGGTAGTTGGTTCGATGCTTTCAGTCGCTGTCTGCCAATTACTGAGGGCAGGCGAGCAGGCAGACCCGCTGCTGAAGAAAAAGTGGACTTTGTCGTGAGGTGGGGTAGAGCCCCACCCAGTGCCTGTCTCCACCCTGTGCCCGTCTCCTGCCCCACCCAGCGCCCGTCTTCAACCTGTGCCCGTCACCACCTCCGCACTCTCCACCCGCCCCCGTCACCTCCACCCACGCCCGACACCTCCACCCACGCCCTGTCTAAATATCCACATTATGAACAGTTACCACAGACTACATCCACATAGACCTGAATCCACTGTTCATTATCCAATACACTGCAAATGTTTGATCGTCAGAGCAATAAACGACCAGATCAAGTTGATTCTTCGAAGCCTAGTGACGTGACAGTCTGGTGGCGTCACACCTTCAGTGACGTCATAGCCGGTGTATTAGTGACGCGACTCGCTCAGGTTGGCAGCGTCACACCCACAGTGACGTCACACACGCCCCGTTCTTCGTGACTTCACGACCCCCGTTCTGAGTGACTTCACGCAACCCGTTCTGAGTGACTTCACGCAACCCGTTCTGAGTGACTTCACGCAACCCGTTCTGAGTGACTTCACGACCCCCGTTCTGAGTGACTTCACGCAACCCGTTCTGAGTGACTTCACACACCCCGTTCTGAGTGACTTCATATTCAGTATTGCTATGTTCATTATAGAATTCGAAAGCCACGTATAGAAACGCCTGATTAATACTGTTATGGTGCTCGAAACTCTACTAGGACATTATATCTATGCAAATAAAGTTTTTATCTATCCAAATGATTGTGAAAATGAGAGAGAGATCACTTTATTGATTCACCTGACCACATTTCCGGTTTTAATCTCCTACCATAAGTTACAGCCTTGCACGCCTTGCCTTGGGAGAGGGGGGGGGGGAGTGGGGGGTGGGGGTCAGCAACGGGGTGGGGGGTGAGAACTGAGCTCGTGACCTCTTCCCCCCCCCCCCCTCACACCCCCCCAACCCCCCTCCCCTCTACCAATTCCCTCATATACCTCTCTTTCACGAGCCTCTTCACCCGATTAGACCCTCCGTAAAATATACAATGAATTAGCCTAACCCAAAGCACCTGAACTACCCATCATCCATCTAAATTGACGGAGCCCATAATCATTAAGCCTATCAAGCGTCAACGATAATCATTAGGCCTATCAAGCGTCAATATTGTGGTACTTTTAAATAGTCCCCTAAATCGCCGCAATTTTTACGCTAGTGCAAGCCTTCCATATCATAGTTCAATTTTGATATTTTTTTGTAATTAACTAGTATGTCAATGCTTATATTAAAGTATATAACATCAGTAGATTATACCAGGGGGGCCAAATTATATATATTATAAACATATGGTATTTCTGATGTTAATGATATGTGTGAATTTTACAATAAATCACAGGAATGTGATATGTATATGAGAAAATATTGAAACATTGGGATTCAACTCGTGTCCCAGGATTGCCCAGGGATCGTGCTCGTAGTCCCTGGACTCTTCAGGGACGCGAGTTCGATCCCACTGTATGACCTCAATATTTTTCTCAATTTCACACAGTCCTTGTCCCCCCTCTTCCCGTCTTCAAATCTTAAAACAACTCTTGGCAGCTTATAGTAAGCTTCACTTCCCCACAAACTCTTGTCTTGCTTGTGGCTGACCACCTGCTTAAGTTTGAGTGTGTGTGTGTGTGTTTGAGTGTATCTGTGTGTGTTTGGGAGCGCGCGTGCACACACACACACACTTCCCCAACCATCACCACCTCTCACTCCCTATTTATCTATTTTGGTTGCGTTATTCTCTGCTTGCCAGTCCTCTCTAGTTAGCAGTACCCTGACCACCACCATCACCACTACCACCACTATCACCGCTGCAAACAAACCAACCACCAAAGGCTACCACCTGTGACATTCAATGAATTTTTTTTCCATGTCATTGGTACCACTATTTTGGTTGCCAGTTTCTGCTTCCTATGCTTCATATATCCCCATCACCTTTCCTCGTCCCTCTGTCCTCTGCTATCATTATGCCACTTGCATGCTTGGCTCATCCTGTTATGCCTTGAGTTATAGGCCTACTGATGCAGCAGACGCCGTGAGGATACAGAGGGGACAGAATAGATGGCTTAAGAGAGAGAGAGAGAGAGAGAGAGAGAGAGAGAGAGAGAGAGAGAGAGAGAGAGAGAGAGAGAGAGAGAGAGAGAGAGAGAGAGAGAGAGAGAGAGACAGACAGACAGACAGATACAGAGACAGAGACAGAGACAGATACAGAGACAGATACAGAGACAGATACAGAGACAGACAGACAGACAGACAGAGACAGATACAGACAAACAGATACAGACAGACAGACAGACAGACAGACAGACAGACAGACAGACAGACAGACAGACAGACAGACAGACAGATACAGACAGACAGAGACAGATAAGACAGAGATACCAAGTGCTAGAATTTTCTGATGACATTTTGGCTCATTACCAAAGCGTTAAACTCGAGAAGAAACTCTTAAAGGCATGCATAATGAGATCAAATACATCTGAGGATACATGAATGAGAGAGAGAGAGAGAGAGAGAGAGGGGGAGGGAGAGAGAGAGAGAGAGAGGGGGGAGGGAGAGAGAGAGAGAGAGAGAGGGGAGGGAGAGAGAGAGACACACACACACAGACAGACAGAGACAGAGAAAGTGACACTAGCAGCGTAAGCCTAGGCAGACAGAGAGAGAGAGAGAGAGAGAGAGAGAGAGAGAGAGAGAGAGAGAGAGAGAGAGAGAGAGAGAGAGAGAGAGAGAGAGAGAGAGAGAGAGAGAGAGGGGGGGCGGCGTGGGTGGTGTGTGGGTGAGACAGGGTCGGCGCCCCCGGCAGCACCAGCAAGGGTGGGGGCCCCCCGGGGCCCCCTGTACGCACCTGAGGGCACTATACCCACTTCGCTGCTCTGCCCATAGTTCACTTTTCGTGCCAATTGACTTTCAGTGGAAAATATTGAGAGAAGTATGATTATTAATTCTAATATTATCAACAAGTTTCAAGAGTACATTTTTTGGATAAATCAATACAAAATTTTTAAGCAATTTATGATCCTTTATTTTTTTAACAATGTCATTTTTTGTTTAAATTAAAGCAAGTTATTTTTCTCATAATAGTAGTTATTACGACTGCCTCGAGAAAGGTAAAATTTGATACATTAAAGCTATATATTGGATCATTCGCTAATCACTGTCCACAACATGTGTCAATAATCCTTTTGAAGTGGGGCGGCGCAGCGGTGTGTTGAGCCAGCTGTTATCGCGAGGCGTAGACTGTGGGCGTGGCACGGGCCTGTCACTCCCCGCCCACCGCCGCCGCCACGCCCATCGCCACCCACCCATCCTTAACAGTGACGTGGGTGTGGCTGAGCAGGAGTAGGCCAGCACTGATGGGGCGAGAACTGGACTACCGCGGCCACACCATGGAGGACAAACCGCCCAGCAGGTCGCCCTCGCCGCCACACTCGCTAGCCACACTCCTCCCCGTCAACCTCAGCATCGCCACCACCACCACCCAAGCCCTGGTGGTGGTCTCAACCATGCCGCCCACGACCACGCCCATCACCGTCACGCCCGTCCTGCTGACCAGTGAGGTGCCCACCTCGCTCGCCTCGCTGGTCACGTGCGAGGCGCCGGAACCACCAGCAGGAACCAGCAGCGATGCCGCGTCGCCAGAGCCGGTACGCACCACCCACGCCCACACCCACTGTCCTACGGCACAGTGTAGGTGGCGACCAGCCACAGCGCCCGCGAGTTCCACCCGTGGCTGCTGAGGTTTTCTCATGCCGCAACCGCACACTGCATGACAGCTGCTGCTGCTGCTAATGCTGCCGCTGCATATTAGTATGCTGATGTCTGCTCTTGCTCGCACCCCCCTCTGTATTCTCTTCTCTTTTTCTCTCGATGTCAATGCATGTTTCAGCATGATCTGTGTAGGATACTGCGAAGTTTGTCCTCAACTCACTACTAATATACATTTATCTCTTCTCCACAGCAGTCGCTCCTCCACCCTAGTGTGGCTGAGGCATTATCAGCATCATACGGCCTCACATCTTCCTTCGGCGACGACTCTCTCAGCGGGACGACCAGTGATGAATTTAAATTAGGAACTGCATTCACAGCGACACCGGCTCCCAGCTATGGTGAAGGCGGTAGCGAGGGCCCCTTTAGTGAAGTCTTCCAGGCCGAGTATCTGCTGTCAGCGCCGCCCCTGGAAGATCTGAAACCTGTCATCACTCATCCGCCATCTGGAACTCCGCCCCCAGGTTCTCCTGGTCATGCAGCCTCCACGCCCTTGTCATCGTCAGCAGCTGCAGCCGCGGCTCTTCCTAGCTTTCAGGAAACCTATTCTCCACGGTACAGACCGTTGGGCTCTGCTGAAGTTTTCACATTTAAAACCGATGAGGGTAGGCCTATAGAATACCCACAACCTCCACCAGCTCATCAGGCGTTCGCCCAGGCTACCCAACAGCAACAACAAGCACAGTTACAGCAGCAACAGGCACAACTTCCTCAGCAGCAGCAACAGCAACAGCAGCAGCCAACAGCGTCTTTTGAGGCGTACGCTCACGCTCCACAGGTGTACGCTCGGCCGGCACCATACCCAAGTCCCTCCGTGCCTGTCAGCCACGCCTACAGTGGTCCCACCAAGACCTTCAGTGGGGAGTTTTATCCCTCTGCCCCTACCTATGATCCTCTTCAGCCTCTCCACCCCGAGCAATACCTACGACCTTCCACATCTCACCACTACACTGAAATGGGAGTACCTTCCACTTCCAGCACCCCGCCCATGTCTTTCCTTGGCCGCAAGGGACCCGGAGAACATATTGACCCTGGTCTAATGCGGCTGCATGCTCCTCCTATGAGTGCTGGCCGCCAAGTTTCGGAGCAGAAGCCACAGTCACCAGCACAACTGTGCGCCGTGTGTGGAGACACTGCTGCCTGCCAACATTACGGTGTTCGGACCTGTGAAGGCTGCAAAGGATTCTTTAAACGTACCGTCCAGAAAAATGCCAAGTATGTGTGCCTTGCCGACAAGAATTGTCCTGTTGACAAGCGACGTAGAAATCGGTGTCAGTTCTGCCGTTTTCAGAAATGTCTGGTCGTCGGCATGGTGAAGGAAGTAGTCAGGACTGACAGCCTGAAAGGTCGGCGAGGTCGTCTACCTAGTAAGCCCAAGAGCCCACAGGAGTCCCCCCCGTCACCGCCTGTCTCACTGATCACGGCTTTAGTAAGGGCACATGTCGACACCACTCCGGATGTCTCCAACCTCGACTATTCACAGTACAGAGAACCTTCCAATGGTGCCGAGTCGCCCTCCACGGAGGCAGAAAGAATACAGCAATTCTACTCATTACTCACCTCTAGCATTGAGATCATCCGACACTTTGCAGAGAAAATTCCAGGCTACCATGACTTGGCCCGCGAAGACCAGGATCTTCTGTTCCAGTCGGCATCTCTCGAACTCTTTGTTTTAAGAGTTGCTTATAGACTTGTGTAAGTAGTTACCTTTCCTCAATCTTTCCGTTTCTCTATATTTCTAAATGCAGTAATCACTTTAATATTTCTTCTAATATATTTATTGAAGAATATCTCATAATGATAATATATATTAAACAGACGATGAGTCAATAATGAGATTTGAAGATATGAAAACTAAACCTCATACCAGAAGATGAGACGACGACGTTTCGGTCCGTCTGGACCACTATCGACTTGATAATAGTCCAGGACGGGCCGAAACGTCGTCGTCGTCGTCTCATCTGATGAACGGTTTAGTTCTCAAAATATATAATAACATGAATATTTCACATATAATTAGATTTTCAGAACATGGTGATCCTAATATTGAATTGTTCTTTCTTCAGAAACAACCCCGAAGACACCAAGTTTGTGTTCGACAGTGGCAGAGTACTGCACAGGTCTCAGTGTGACCGCTCTTTTGGGGAGTGGCTACAAGGTATTCTCGACTTCTCCGCCTCGCTGAAAGCAATGGATCTCGACATATCTGCATTTGCCTGTCTCTCAGCACTCACAATCATTACAGGTATTAATAGCAGCATTTATTATAAGCTTATGATAATGTTTATTCAGGTAATAGTACATGCATTCAAAATGAGTTACAAACAGAATGTTGGATTCCTAGATAGAGCTAGTACATACCATGCCTAAAGCCACTAATACGCACAGCGTTATATATGTGTATACAATTTGAGTAGCACAGTATTATAGCTTTCCGTCAGTTGGTATCTTGTGTTTATTTAGTATATGTATCTTTTGTATTCTCAGTTGTGTATTTCACCCTATCAAGCCAATAGAATCACTGACATTACTTACTCCAACAGAGAGACACGGACTTAAGGATACCAAGAAAGTGGAACAGCTACAAATGAAGATTATCAGCTCCTTGAGAGATCACGTCACCTACAATGCGGAGGCACAGAAGAAGCCCCACTATTTCTCACGCATTCTCGGCAAACTACCCGAGCTGCGGTCCCTCTCTGTTCAGGGCCTACAGCGGATCTTCTACCTCAAGTTGGAAGACCTGGTCCCTGCCCCTCAACTCATAGAGAATATGTTCGTCTCTAGCCTTCCCTTCTGAATTAACAGGAAACTTCTGAGACTTTACCTTACTGCCATGGGCTCACCCAGCTTCCTACCCATCACTACACCTCCGTGGTTGACCTTCAGATGAAGATGTTGGGCCACGGTTCTCCTTAAGCCGTGGCCCTCGTTCAGGAGAGAGTGGTGGTACATCAGTGGTGCCAGGCCCTGCCCCCCAGAACCTCGTATCCCTCCACTAGGAGCAGCAGCCACTACTACTGCCCACGCCCATTATACCAAATCCACCCCTATTGTTAAGGGTGTTCCTCAGCAAGAGACCTCAGCCAGGAAAAGACGACTTCCTCCCCTTCTGTCTCTCCCTCGACGAATAAGCCTCGTTGAGCCTGCATAAAAGTGCATTGTGTTTTGTAGCGCGCGCACATAATGATGCACATAATGGTCACATGCACACACACACATAGTTCGTTTACAGACTTTTACTAAAAAAGTATAAAAAAGCAATGTTATTTTTTAATAATCGGAATAAGGTGGTTGGATGAGAGCCAAGAAGCACTAAGCGAGTATGAAGGTGCTCTGTGGTGCGTGTGTTAGACTTGTCACTTCGGCATAATGCCTCGACAAACTAGTCATTCTGTGATTTAATGGAAAATATAAAAAGATTTTGAAGGAAGAGTAATGAGAATATTGTTTATACTTTGAGCTCAGTAAAGCTTCATTACGTATTTTTGTAATTACTTTTAAGTCAAACCTAGGATAGTCTGAAATATAATATTTTCGGCCTTACCTTGTGCATAGGTAACTGTACAAAACCCTGTAGATAAATACTGATTTACGCTCGTTGAGTCGCAACAAGGCGTATTATACAGGTACTTGTAGGATACGCACCATGACAAGGTCCAGTCCTAGCAACCGTGAGCAGTAATAACAACATATACGACAAAGAATCGGTAATGAACGAGTTCCTTGGCTTGTGGGAGCGATGTGACTGACATGGCAGCCAAACCTCCCAAATCCTTGGGCTCCAGTGAGCTGTCTTGTCTCCTCAATGCTCCTTAGTCACGTGGTCTCTGTTGCAAGTTTGTATGGAATGTAATATATATATATATAAATATATGATTAGGGGTCTCATGGATTGATATTTTTTATACTGGAAATCCCGCGTACAACTCATTAGTTCTAATGTTTATGGTGCTGCCGCTAGCATCCTAACAGGAAACTAGACGATAGTTATAGAGTGCATTTAGTTAGTAGACCGTCTACACGGTTACTCGGACTGCCCTTTTCATCGGCAACCTCAGAGGTAAAACTTTGCCGCTCCTCTTCAGGAAGAGGTCCAGACGTCTTCGTCAAGTCGAATATGAAATCCTCTTTAGGGGTGAAGGTTGCCAAGTTTATTTTCTATGCTGATCTGTGTCGTTGACTGTCTTGCCCCGGTGATAATATTCTAGAGTACCCAACTTACTAACGCTTTTTTGGTCTAGCTGGGAGTTACATGGAAGGGTGTGAAGGCCTCTCATCCCCCCCCCCTCAAAAATGTGCTGCTAGAACTAATTTTTACTGTGGAAGTTTTGAGTACCTGTAGCCTGAGCGCGGCGCCCGTCTGTAAGCCAGCTGAAGAGACTATTGTCGTTATGGCTGCAAACCTGTATGGTGTCTCAATTTTTAACGTTGTCTGGTCACTGTTTTGCCTTTTATGTTTTAGTCAGTATTACGTGTCATTTCGTGTCATATATTCAGTGTTTACAATTTCTTCAACGTCACGTCCACTAAATCCAATCCATCTTGCGGGATGGAGGAACCTGGCCCAACGTAGCTGCTCCCAGCTGCCCGCTCTGAGTGCAAGGAAGACACAGACAGTGTGGACGGCCGGGAGATGGGTCGGAATCCTTCTCTCCCTAAGTTTTGATCTTACGTTCACTCCCATCATTAGTTTCCATAGAACAACAGTACGAGATTAAGCCATATGTATGATTCCAAAACGTCTTTATCCCTCCCCCAACCGCACGACTAAACGCTGTTGGAAACGATACCTATTTGCATGTCCAAAGAAAGGGTAATGTTTCCCCAAGCAAGAACGGAATTCCAAAGATATTGGTGGCCAATGTGGTCTCTTGTTGTGTAATTGTTTTTGAATGACAATCCAAGAGCTATTATTCAGTTTATACCTAATTTACGTCTGTTGTAACATTTGAATGTTTCATCATTAGTGTGTGATGCACACTAATGCACATATACATATACACACACATACATACACCAAAACACACACACACATACAGATGGCCTGTAATGAATGTACGAAGCACGGCCAATGTCGTCCTTTGTACGTACCTGTGTTTGTTTATGATGTGGTGAAGTCTTGACCAGAAGGAATGATAAGGTCTGCTACCCATGACAATTTTATTAGAAGAGTGTTCGTGGAACGGTGCCTAGGTCATCTGTTACTGTGTGCATAGTATATATTTTTTTGCCTTGAGCTTCTCCGTAGCAATAACTTGGAAGAGAGAAGGTCACACTCCCGCATATCCTAAAGGCTACTGACCCCACCCGAATGAAAAACTATGTCACTGTCTTTTAAAAGTCATTGATCATACTTGTCAATGTTAATGACAGAATTATTCTTATTTTTTGTGTTAAATTTGATGGTTTAGCCAACATCCATCAGATGATAAATCTATCGTCAAGTTGCACGGGAGGTCCAGCAACATAACAAAGGCGGGAGGTGGTCAATCATTTCTCTCTTGCCTGTCAATTGCGGTTGTCCTCGTGTCACTGTAGCGATCCTGTGCTAGTATCCATATTTGTTACTGTCGTCTCTACCTGGCTTCACCTTTGTGACGTCCGCTTATAGAGTTATTTTTGTTCTATACATACATATATATATATATATTACATAGCAAATAATATATATATGAAACCCCGTACAGGTTGTTACAGTGACTATGGCATTTGCACAGACCAGCCACCCTCTGCCGACTGAGATAAATAGTGTCTTTAAATGTAAAAGAACACGTAATTTGCAAAGGAATCTGATTTAAGTTATCATTGAAATGCGAAGTCTCAGAAACAGGCAATGAACGCGATGTTATGTCCCCCTCGGTGAGAACTAAAGCTGGTCTGTGCTTATACCGACAATGTTACCAGTCATGCAAAACCTTTTCTAGCCTTATCTGTGGGTTACCATCTGTTTTTAAGAATAATAGTATAATATATATATATATATATAGAGAGAGAGAGAGTAATCCTAGTTGGAGCTGCTTAACACATACATACATGGTCCTGTCGCTGTGAGCCTCATCATTGTCTTCAGATCATATGTATGTGAGGAAAGTAATTTATTTTTCTGTCCAACCTCGATATTGATTGTAAATACTGACTCGCAAGTGGTCAAATTATCTTAAGAGATTTAAAACAAAAATTATTTTCACCGCAATGTTTTTGTGCTACGTTCGCTGTATTGGTGGCAGCGTGTGTTTGTTTACATTGGTTTCTAGTTGGGTGTGAATATAATAATCCCCGAATATTCAATAAGGTTGAGTATCCTTAGAGATATGGAAGGATTTTCAGCCCAAGTGAGTGACTATGTATACTACAATGTTCGCGTCTGAATGGTCCAAGTGTCTTAATGACGTCATATCAGAATATAAATGGGGAAACCCCTTTTTTTTTAATTTTTTTTTATCCTTTTTTGTGTGTGTATCGAGTCATAAAGAATCATTGAGTGTATAAGTGTTCACATGATTGTTAAAGCCTACATGTTGAATAAAATTTCTCTTGTTGTCATAAAATGAGTTATGTTATTCATCTTGCAATGCAGAAAATGTCTTTTGGATATATTGCCTGACCTTAAGGGCTTTCTTCCCAGGGAAGGTATACTCACTCCAGTGTTTTAAAGGTATAACTTATTTTTTCATGGATTTGGATAAATTAAGCAAAATAAAAGAGAAAAAATGTCGCTGATCTCACAATCACTGGACCAGCAAAACAACTTCAAGTGCACTTTTGAATAAAACAAAAGTTTTTTGAATGAAACAAAAGGGAAAGTTCATGGAGAGTACGCGTGTACAACAGAACTCGGTGAACCCCTTACTTGTTTTGCATCATCATGTACAATGTCTATTCCCTCTACCCATCCCTTTCTGGCTCTTTTGTTCCCCTCTTATTTCCAATTCCTTTTCCATTCTTCGCCTCTTGTATTCTTCCTCTGGTCCCTTGCACCCTTCTCCCTTTTCTCTGCGCTTCCTTCACCATCTTATCCCAGCTCCTTGTCCTCATATCTCCCCCTTCCAAGTGCTATCCTGGCTTAGTATTTTTCCCCTCATAACTACCTTACCTTGCTATTCTTTCTCCCCTTTTAACACCTCTACCCCCTTACCTTCAGATTGTCCACATTTGTGATATCAGAGTCATTTTGTAGATGTTCCCCGCCCGTGAGAAGGGCTTTTAGAACAGCCCCTTTCGGAGGCCCTGTGAAGGACTCCACTGAAAAAGGTTTCTTCAGACCCAGAGCAGGTCTTAAAAGGAGCCTTTGAGCAGGTCCTGTAAGCGACTCTCGTCTGCTGTTCCAACTTTTCCTATTTTTTGAGATAATATAAATGAAAGAACTAATTTCCTGTGTTTCATTCCTTTCCTACATGGCGGTAAGTAAGGTAAAGTCTGAATTTACCCATTTACCATTTATGGCAAATATTTATAACCCATTTACCTGCCTATGAAGCAAAATCCTAAAGTCTGTAATAATATTTGCGAAAATAATTAAATCATAAAAGATAACATTAATAAAGACTTTATTATAACAGAATAAAGATACTGCCAAATAATGGAAATAGTATTCATAAGTGAAAAGTGAAAAATATAATATTTAGAAATAATTATAACAATTATACATTTCACACCGGTTATAAAAATTAGTGAACAAATTTTTATTTCAAATTAACACAATGTATATGTCAGACAACTGTAAAAAAATATGATTCAATATTAAACTAAAAAGTACAGTACAAGACTATGATCAGATCTTGTGCTTATATTATATATATATATATATATATATATATATATATATATATATATATATATATATATATATTATATATATAATGTACCTAGTAGCCAGAACGTCGTACTCGGCCTACTATGCAAGGCCCGATTTGCCTAATAAGCAAAATTTTCCTAAACTTATATATTTTTCAATATTTGTTTCTTATTAAATGATAAAGCTATCCATTTCATTATGTATGAGTGATTTTTTTTTTAACTTCAGTTAAAACTAATGTAGATATATGACTGAACCTAACCAACCTAACCTAACCTAACCTAACCAACCCTACCTAACCTAACCTATCTTAACCTAACCTAAACTAACCTAACCTAACCTAAACTAACCTACCTAACCTAACCTATCTTAACCTAACCTAAACTAACAAAATTAAGTCAATAATTTATGTTCTTAATGTAATATAATAAAAATAATTCAAACTAATTGGAAACAATTTATTGAAAATAAAGAAAATCGCTCGGCCTATTAGGCAAATCGGGCCTTGCATAGTAGGCTGAGAAGTGCATTCTGGCTACTAAGTACGACATATAAGTGTGTGTGTAAATCACGAAAATTAACACGTGATGAAAAATATGAGTGTCAGACCACGGATGAAAAATTGAAACGGTGATTTCCTTAAGTACTTTCGTATATTGATACATCTCCAGAAGGGATGTAGTCCTTCTGACTACATCCCTTCTGAGCTAGGTTCTCGGCGCTAGGCGCATGCGTCTTGCCTGGGAAGAGACCTGGACCCGGATTCACAAAGCAGTTACGCAAGTACTTACGAACGTGTACATCTTTCCTCAATCTTTGACGGCTTTGGTTACATTTATTAAACAGTTTACAAGCATGAAAACTTGCCAGTCAACTGTTGTTATTGTTATAAACAGCCTCCTGGTGCCTCGGAGCTCATTAACTGTTTAATAATTGTAAACAAAGCCGCCAAAGACTGAGAAAAGATGGACAGGTTCGACAGATGTCTTCTATGTAGGCATCTTCACGTTCTGGTTTTGTTCTTAAGTCTCATGGTGGGTAGAGTGAATAGTTCCGTAATTTGGGTATTCATGGTAGGTTGTTCTATTTTTATGTGGATTGCTTCAAGAATTTGTAATATTCTTACATCTTGGGTTCTGTCTATTATACAGGTGTTTTTATTCAGCATTTCTCTTGTTAGGGTGATGTCATGGGCTTGTCTCATGTGATTTCTGGGGGCACCAGATTGAAGATGACAGGTCAAACGCCTCGTCAGCTTGGTCGACGTCATACCTATGTACTTAGATTGAAGGTTACATCCTTCGTGAGGGCAAGTGTACATGTACACAACGCTTGACTGCTGTAGAGGGTTCTCCGTCGGCTTCGGGCTGTTTTTAATGAGGAGGTCGGAAGTCTTCTTGGTTTCATAGCATATGATCAGGTCTATGTTTTGGTTAGGAGTATTGTTTTTTACTCCTTTACGGATTATTTCCGTCATTATTCTTTCTTCTTTTTTGTGTTCACTATGCATAGTTTTGTAATATTTTATTGGGAGGTGTTGGGGTTTCTGTTCTAGGTTCAGGATCATCTCAGTCTCAGCCATAATCAACATTATTATCCAATTGAGATTGCTGCGGATATTGCACGGGACATTGTGTCTACAGAGCCAAGAGAACACTTCCATCTCACCCACCAGTGACAACGCAGGGCAAGATTACCCATCCGCTTGACTGTTGACCATTGCAAAATTATGTTTTTGAATTTCCTTACCAAAAAGGTGGAGTCTGGTATTTAATAAGATTGGAAATGAGTAACAGTTCAGGCAAAGCCCCAACTCCCCGACCTGTTCCTGAACTGACACGGAGCAGACCCGTCTATGACCATCCCTGAACAAAGACCAGTCACCCCGCAAAGTTTATCCCCCCCAAGCATGATTTAATTTGAAGAATACAAGTCAAATTTTGTACTATTTACTTTAGTGTCCCTGGTAGTACAGTATAAAAGATTAACAAAGCTTAAGTTGCATTCACTGGAAAGGCGAAGAGTTAGGGTGACATGATAGAGGTTTACAAGTGGATGAATGGACATAACAGGGGGGATATTAATAGGGTATTAAAAATATCAACAAAAGACAGAACACGAAACAATGGGTATAAATTGGATAAGTTTAGATTTAGGAAAGACTTGGGTAAATACTGGTTCAGTAACAGGGTTGTTGATTTGTGGAACCAATTGCCGCGTAACGTGGTGGAGGTGGGGTCCCTCGATTGTTTCAAGCGCGGGTTGGACAAGTATATGAGTGGGTTATAGATAGGAGCTGCCTCGTATCGGCCAATAGGCCTTCTGCAGTTACCTTGTTCTTATGTTCTTAAGTTCTAATGACTAAAATAACTAAAATCAGATCACTAGCCAGTAGGCTATATATATAGTTCCTACTTAATAGGCATACAGGCTATATTCAGATATTATTCTCAGCCATAAATTACAAATGCCTGGTTATATAGGTCAAAATACAAAGCAAAGTTTGTATGCAGTGTAAGATTTCTTCACTAAGTTGTAATAAGCGCTGTATCAATCAATATTTATTGATTGATCAATATTTACAGTCTCCGTGGTGTAGTGGTAAGACACTCGCCTGGCGTTCCGCGAGCGCTATGTCATGGGTTCGTATCCTGGCCGGGGAGGATTTACTGGGCGCAATTCCTTAACTGTAGCCTCTGTTTAACGCAACAGTAAAATGTGTACTTGGATGAAAAAACGATTCTTCGCGGCAGGGGATCGTATTCCAGGGACCATAGGATTAAGGACTTGCCCGAAACGCTACGCGTACTAGTGGCTGTACAAGAATGTAACAACTCTTGTATATATCTCAAAAAAAAAAAATGGTAGAGGTTAATTTGTAAATGCTATGAGATACAATAGTCCATAGTTTGAAGAGTTATAGAAAACGAAGCCGAATTATTACAACTACAGAAAACTGTCCTTTGTGAAAAACTACGTATTTTTTTTAGGATGAACTATGGTTGTCACTATTTGTTTTTGTTAATGTCATTTTCCTAGCATTTATAAGGTATTGTATATAACTATGTTACATATAATACAATACAGTTTGGTGCCGCTTAATTTTACAGCAATGGTTTGTTATATTTCTTGTGTATTTTACTCAAGAAACATTGAATTGAAATTGAAATGAATTGAAGTTTATTGAGGCATAAATACACATAAAGGGATGAGGTAGCTCAAGATATTCTTACCGTTGTACTGAACACGTTCAGTACAACGTGTTCATATTATGTTGACCAAACCACATGGTCAACATCTGTTGACCAAACCAGATATATATATAATAGAGATATTATATTATAATATATATATATATATATATATATATATATATATATATATATATATATATATATATATATATATATATATATATATATATTATATATATATATAATCGAGGGGGTCCCTCGATTCTTATAACATAAGAATAAAGGTAACTGCAGAAGGAATATTGGCCCATACGAGGCAGCTCCTATCTATAACCACCCAATCCCAGTCACATGCATGTCCAACCCACGCTTGAAACAATCGAGAGACCCTGCCTCCACCACGTTACGCGGTAATTGGTTCCACAAATCAACAACCTTGTTACCGAACCAATATTTACCCATGTCTTTCCTAAATCGAAACTTATCCAATTTATACCCTTTGTTTCGTATTCTGTCTTGTGTTGATACTTTTAATACCGCATTAATATACCCCCTTTGCTTACGAGGAGCCACAATAACGTGGCTGAAATATGTCGACCAAACCACATACTAGAAAGTGAAGGGACGACGACGTTTCGGTCCGTCCTGGACCATTCTCAAGTCGAAACGTCATCGTCCCTTCACTTTCTAGTGTGTGGTTTGGTCAACAAAATATCCCCTTTGTTATGTCCATTCATCCACTTATAAACCTCTATCATGTCACCCCTAACTCTTCGCCTTTCCAGTGAATGCAATGTCAGCTTTGTTAATCTTTCTTCATATGACAAGTTTCTAACTTGGAGAACCTAACTTCTAATTTAGTTACCTTCATTGTTATGTTCTATAGGCATTTCCCAGACAATTTTCCTATTTTCTAGTTCTGAAGAGCCAATCGGCCTTCTGCAGTTTCCGTAATTATCATATTATCTCATCCTTCACCTGACCATCTACGCCTGAATTGCCAATTACCGGCATATAAACACTGACAACAATAAATTATCCTCACTTTACCAACGCTTTACAAAATCTCACCATACTAGACTACCGTCGTATAGCCACAACCATGGACAAGGTTACACAAATAATGGATAATTTCTTCTCCATTCGCAACGTCCGGCTGAGGGAGGAACGACATAATATTCTGAGACTCTCCGACGCCAAGCTTGACGAAATCACGACGAACCCCGATGCCAGTCTGTATCAGTATACCTTGGTGAAGAGCCTCAGGAATCGTGTACAACTAGAGGAAGAGAAGGACACGTTGGCCTACTGGAGAGGAATATTTACCTACAACACTTCCTCCTCGCAGCCTCTTGAAGACCCTATGACTTCAAGTGCCTCGCCACACGATCAGTACCTGTATCCTACAGCCTCGGCATACACGGATGATCTGCATCCTACAGCCTCGTCATATAAGGATGATCTGTATCCTACAGTCATGGCATACAAGGATGATCTGCATTATACAGCCTCGGCATACAAGGATGATCTGCATTATACAGCCTCGGCATACAATGATGATCTGCTTCCTACAGTCTCGGCATACAAGAATATTCATCCTACAGCCTCGGCATACAAGGATCTGCATCCTACAGTCACGGCATACGAGGATAATCTGTATCATACAGCCTCGGCATACAAGGATGATCTGTATCATACAATCTCGGCATACGAGGATGATCTGTATTCTACAGTTTCAGCATACAAGAATCTTCATCCTACAGTGTCGGCATACAAGGATGACTTGTACAAAAGAGCTTCCAAGTACAATGAGGGGCATCCACCGGGCATCGTAGACGAGGCGGACCTGTCAACATCAGTCTCTGTTGATGAGCTTGATCTGTCAACATCAGTCTCTGTTGATGAGCTTGATCTGTCAACATCAGTCTCTGTGGATGAGCTTGATCTGTCAACATCAGTCTCTGTGGACGAACTGGATCTGTCAACATCAGTCTCTGTGGACGAACTGGATCTGTCAACATCAGTCTCTGTGGACGAACTGGATCTGTCAACATCAGTCTCTGTGGACGAACTGGATCTGTCAACAACATCGGTCTCCTATCATCACTTTCCAACATCGGACGATCGATATTCTACAATGAACTCCGAAGACGAGGATAATTGTGGTATCCCATCTCTCATTACCTTTTTAGAAGGCTACCTGAAGCACTGATCGCCCTGTGCCAGTGATAGATTGACCTTGGGAAATTTTACAGTGCCTGTCATTGCCAAAATATGCAAATACATGTTGACCAGACCACACACTAGAAGGTGAAGGGATTGATTGTCTAATTGTGAGAATGAGACAATCGACTTGAGAGGCAATCTTGAAAACTTGAGAATGGTCCAGGACCGACCGAAACGTCGTTGTCCCTTCACTTTCTAGTGTGTGGTCTGGTCAACATTATTGTGACTCATCGTCTACAAATACATATTTTGCTATGTATATGTAAATACAGATTATAAGTATGTATTAAAATTGTAAAAAAAATGTGTAAATGTGTAAAAAATGTATATACCTTTGCCTGACATATAAGCATTGGAGAACAGGTTTAATTTACCTTGAAAGTTTTTGTTTCCTTGTAAAGTATTTTGCCAAAATAAAGACTTTATTACTTCATGGTTTTTTATTTCTTTATTATTTGTTTTTCGAAAATGTGCCTTGCCCTTAATTACTTAAATCCTTTACTATGTTCCTAAGGATTTCACGTGTCCGCTCAGTTCAACATTATAATAAAAAGAAACTGCAAAAGACTGGCCACTTGGTCCGTGTTAGGAAGCTCTTATTTATACCTTTCAAATTCACATATATGTCTAGCTCTATTTTTCCCTCTTAAAAATCGGCACCACGTTGGCACCCTTCCACGACTCTTCTCGCCTGTAATGATATTTATTAAGTGTGCAAAACAAGAGATCACTAATGACAAAACCACAACTTAGAAGACGGAGGACCATTTATCAAGTCGTGTGATGACCTTAAGGTCCCGGACGAACCGAAACGTCGTCGCTTCTCCATCTTCTGAATTGTGGTTTGGTTATCTTGTGGCTGTACCTTATTGTGACGATTCGTCTGCAAGGGATCACATTTTGTAATGTTTGAAAAAAATCTAGATTCACTTCCTCAATACCTTATCCTCACAGCACCCACATCACTAACGATAGCTAACGCCATACTTATCTGACCCGCGGAAGTAAAGCATTCAGGTCTAAAAGTTTCTGATAAACCATAAACTCACTCGAAGCTAGTTAGCATTTCATCACAACTCTGCCTCGACCCATTGATCAAATGATTCCATCTCTTTACACAACTGATGACGTGTGAATCGCAATATTCATTTATATTTGGTAAATGCATCCTTTGAATGAATAAAATTTTAAAATTATTGAATATTAATTCGAAGGGGTCGAACGCTGGATGGAATGAACATAGCCTGAAGGTGATTGACTGAAGATTAAGCCACCCAAGAGGTGGCACGGGCATGAATAGACCGTCATGACCTGAGGACGGGTTGGAATTTACAATTTACAGTAACTGTAAATAATTACCAACGCAACCAAACCTAGGTTTAACTATACAATTTTCCTAAATATATAGGTTAGGACTAAGATATACATTGTATATGAAATAACTATAATAGACAAGTATATGTATGTTCAGGACTTGTCAGCGAGAGTGACCTTGACAACAGTAGAGAAGCTGATAAGCCTTAGGCCCAGCAGCAAACCAAATCTGCTAATCATTGTATATACAATTAGTTTAATTTATTCCTGGACAACATTCAGTCCTAATGTATACCTATTGGTAAACTATTGTAGTGACCTTAATATCCTTCCAAAGGTCGATTGGCCTTAAGGCTTTAATATCAATTTAAAGTAAATAAAGTTTAATATCAAGTAAAGTATAAATAGGTACCTGGGAGTTAAACAGCTGCTACGGGCTGCTTCCTTGGGAAGAGGGTGTGAACAAAAGAAGAAGGAAAGAATCAAAGAAGAATCAAAAGAAGGCACCAAGCCGGGAAGGCTGTGAAGCACAGACCAATTTACATTAACTAAACCAGACTCCTGGTGACGTAGTCGTCAGCTGTGGCGTGTAGCCAAGACCTGTGTATTAGCCGAGAATATAAATTAAGTGAACCTAAATGCGCACTATTGTACAGCTAAAAATTATTGTCGACATTACTTGCGCAATCACATTCGATGTATTCGATAACATAAGAACAAAGGCAACTGCAGAAGGCCTATTGGCCCATACGAGGCAGCTCCTATTTATAATCCAATCCCACTCATATACTTGTCCAACCCGCGCTTGAAACAATCGAGGGACCCCATCTCCACCACGTTACGTGGCAATTGGTTCCACAAATCAACAACCCTGTTACTGAACCAGTATTTACTCAAGTCTTTCCTAAATCTAAACTTATCCAATTTATACCCATTGTTTCGTGTTCTGTCTTGTGTTGATACTTTTAATACCCTATTAATATCCCCTTTGTTATGTCCATAACGTATTCGATGTATTCAATAACGTATTCGATGTACAAAGGATATAGAATTTATATATTCTATATAACAGTTACATTTATATTATAAATGTAACTGTTCTGCCTTACTTTGCCCTCTTTATAAGGAGATATTAAGAAAGCTTAGTTTAATGCGCTAAGATAAACTGATAGTTCATCCTATATATATCTAGCTTGAGAGATAGTAATTAATTTACTATTTCCATATAATTTGTATCTTCTATCTTGAGGTTATCTTGAGATGATTTCGGGGCTTTTTAGTGTCCCCGCGGCCCGGTCCTTCCTCCACTCCCAGGAAGCAGCCCGTAACAGCTGACTAACACCCAGGTACCTATTTTACTGCTAGGTAACAGGGACATAGGGTGAAAGAAACTCTGCCCATTGTTTCTCGCCGGCGCCCGGGACCACAGGATCACAAGTCCAGTGTGCTGTCCGCTCGGCCGACCGGCTATGTATTAAAGTAGTCTGCCAACAACAATCAACTGACGCCATTAACACAATGACAGCTGGCGCCGCCAAGCATTATATCAGCACTAGGTCACTGGTGATGTCATCCACCCCCACCCTCCCCTACTCCATGCGTTCCCCCACCCTCCCCTACTCCATCAGACATCTCCCGTCACGCAGGGTGCAGTCGCACCTCCACAGATCTCCAGTATCAGCTCTTGATACTGGTAATGGCTCAAAAGGGGCCACCACTTACGGGCTATTAATGCCCGTGCCACCTTTTGGGTGGCACGGGCATTAATCTTTATCAATCCTACTCCATGCGTTCCCTCCCCAACCACCATGCGTCCCTCAACTTTGTGAAAAAGAAAACATGCATTCCCTTGAATATTATTTTGTAGAATATCTAATATTGACTGACTTTCGCCCTCCTGGGCTAAGATATGCTGAACTCTGTAATTACTATATGAGTACTGGAACACTTGATGATATATTGGACTTGTACTCAAGATTGACCATGTATATGTATCAATTATACAATGTATGTATGTGATGTAACTGTATAACCTGAGCTTGTAAAAGCATCTTAATCACCTTCAGTGGTTCGGTGCTTAATAACACTACTTTATCAGGTATCTCACCCTGTCAGAGTAGGAGAGACAAATGTATGTGTGCGTATATATGTATGTATATGTGTATGTATATGTGCGTGTATGTATGCGTATAAAGTATATGTGGAAGCTGATCAGAATTACATTTCACCTTTGTAAATGCACATTAATGACACTTCTAATACTTTATGTAGGGCAGACGTAAATCTGCGTATGTATGTATTTACGTATGTATGTTAGTTTATCATTTTCAAAGCACCAGAATCACCTTCTGTGATTGATTGTTCAATAAATCACTTAACTATATGTGTAACAGATCTCTAACCCATGGAGGACAGAAGAAAATGTATATATTCTGGTTAGCATTGTAAATGTGTGGCCACGTCTGTGGTAGAAAATAATAATAAAAAACTTCGACAGTATACCCCCCACCTTCCCCTTTCCACAGTATACCCCCCACCTTCCCCCTTCCTACACGTGTCCCCTCCCCCACCCAACTGGCCGACAACAGTGCAAAAAAATCCCACCCAGCTGATCACGTGTTGGCAGACAGTGTTACTCATTCATGAAGCGGAGATTGTCGCGAGCACACTCGCCGGAGCGCTCCTTACTCGTGTCAAACTACATCACAGTTCAGATATCTCTCCTTTGTGCCATCACAGCCATATCCGAAGCCTGTTAATCCGTGACCCCAGTGCTACTGGGAGCTTGATGCAATGGACTCGGGAAATTTAGAACGAGGCGAGAGGCGAAACTTAATACTTACTTCGAGTGGGGACAAGACCCTAGATGAGGTCGCAAAGAAGATCCACTCTAGCCACGATGAAGAGGAGAACTTCCAACTGTCACCTCAGGTAAGACATGCTATGTCTTCCTCCTCAAGTTAAAACAAAAATTTGCTTTTGAGTTCAAGTGGTGTACTCGTTGAAGTTAATTTTGTTAGGGATGATTGCACGTAGAGTGACTATGTAGCCATCTGTTGGCCCAGAGTGACTATGTAGCCATCTGTTGGCCCAGAGTGACTATGTAGCCATCTGTTGGCTAGATTGGCTATGTAGCCATCTATTGGCTAGAGTGGCTATGTAGCCATCTATTGGCTAGAGTGGCTATGTAGCCATCTGTTGGTTAGAGTGGCTATGTAGCCATCTGTTGGCTAGAGTGGCTATGTAGCCATCTGTTACCAAGTGTGTATATTCGGTGATGAGTAAAACAAAAATACTGATAACGTAAGTGCTGACAGAATGATAAGGCCGCAGGAGAAGTCTCTCGCTCTCTCAACCTTTTCTTTTACAAATTACGTCTGAATTTCTGTCAAAAATGGACGTAATTTGAAAATATATTTTGGATTTTTTTTTTAAAACAGTAAGTTAAGGGTCCTCTGGTTGGTTAGGAGGGCAGGAAATTCTCCTAAAGTTTCAAAACGTCAATTGAAAGTTTCCTCTCCTAACCGAGTAGGCTGTATAACTATACAGTAGGCAAGAGGACTCAAAAAAGGCACAGAACATCACTTTCCTGAGCCGAATTCATTTCAAATTACGTCCATTTTTGGCCATAGCGCAAATAACGTTGCGAAAAGCAACGTTATTTTTACTTGGACGGTTTGGGTAACATTATCTGTTTATTGTCGTGAAACGAAGATGTTGATAAAGATGTCATTATAAAGGAGCAAGAGAGAGAGAGAAGGAATGAGGAGTAGAGAGAGATGGGAAAAAGTTTTCCCATGTACTTAAAAGTACATGTACTTAAAACTACATGGAAAGAGTGAATGTTACCCTATGTGTCTAGGTAAATACCGTTAGGTCATCCGTTGTGGCTACTGTTTATACTCTCACTGGTCTGCCCGACTTCTCACAACGTACAAAATCCGTCGTCCTAACCAAGCCAGGAACCTACGAACCCAAGCCACCCACCTAACCCAACACAATCGGCTTTATTATAGTCCAGGACGGCCCGAAACGTCATCTGGTGTGTGTTCGAGTCTTCATCTCTTCAGCCTCGTTATTGTAACTCATCGTCTGAAGTTGGCCTAATGATGAATATTCATTTGGTAACTCATCCACATGTGTGTATACTCTTCATCTCGATGTATATATACAATAAGAGTTTGGGTCTGAACATAGTTTTGGACTAAGATATACATTCTATATAAATTAAATATATTAAACAAGTATACGTATATTCAGGACTTGTTAGCTAGTCTGAGATACAATGGGTGGTGGCCTTGACATCAATAGGTGCTTCCGGGGCTTAGCGTCCCCGCGGCCTGGTCGTCGAGCAGGCCTCGGTGTATATGGTCGCATATACAATTCTTTTAATTTATTGCTGAACAACATTCGGTTCTAATGTATACCTGTTGGTTGGTAAGGTATTGTAGTGACCTTAATATCCTTCCAAAGGTCGACTGGCCTTAAGGCTTTAATATTTTGACCTTAGGGTCTTATATTGACCTTAAGACTTCGTACTGGTGACGTCACCAGACTCATGCTGGTGACGTCAGTTGGGGCGTGTAGCCCCAACTGTGTTCTCTCGAATATAAATAAAGTGAATTATAATACTCTGATGCTCTTATTGGTCGGCCAAATGGTGTCACAGTGAACCCCTGGGAGAGTGCCAAGCAGTTGGCGTGGGACTACACGTGCGTATCAACCCTGGCTAACACCTACATTGAATTCAATGTTGCACAACTGGGTGGCGCTGCCACTCACAGGGAATCAGCTAAATCCCCTAAGTACAGAGAACTGGATCACCGCTACAATTTTGTTATATATATATATATATATATATATATATATATATATATATATATATATATATATATATATATATATATATATGTCGTACCTAGTAGCCAGAACTCACTTTTTGGCCTACTATTCAAGGCCCGATTTGCCTAATAAGCCAAGTTTTCCTGAATTAATATATTTTTTCTAATTTTTTTCTTATGAAATGATAAAGCTACCCATTTCATTATGTATGAGGTCAATTTTTTTTTATTGGAGTTAAAATTAACGTAGATATATGACCGAACCTAACCAACCCTACCTAACCTAACCTAACCTATCTTTATAGGTTAGGTTTGGTTAGGTAGCCGAAAAAGTTAGGTTAGGTTAGGTTAGGTAGTCGAAAAACAATTAATTCATGAAAACTTGGCTTATTAGGCAAATCGGGCCTTGAATAGTAGGCCAAAAAGTGAGTTCTGGCTACTAGGTACGACATTATATATATATATATATATATATATATATATATATATATATATATGTCGTACCTAGTAGCCAGAACTCACTTTTTGGCCTACTATTCAAGGCCCGATTTGCCTAATAAGCCAAGTTTTCATGAATTAATTGTTTTTCGACTACCTAACCTAACCTAACCTAACTTTTTCGGCTACCTAACCAAACCTAACCTATAAAGATAGGTTAGGTTAGGTTAGGTAGGGTTGGTTAGGTTCGGTCATATATCTACGTTAATTTTAACTCCAATAAAAAAAAATTGACCTCATACATAATGAAATGGGTAGCTTTATCATTTCATAAGAAAAAAATTAGAAAAAATATATTAATTCAGGAAAACTTGGCTTATTAGGCAAATCGGGCCTTGAATAGTAGGCCAAAAAGTGAGTTCTGGCTACTAGGTACGACATATATATATATATATATATATATATATATATATATATATATATATATATATATATATATGTGGTTTGAATATATATATATATATATATATATATATATATATATATATATATATATATATATATATATATATATATATATATATATATATATATATATATATATATATATATAACAAGATATATATATATAACATTATATATATTTATATAATTATATAATGCGATTCATTCGCATATTGTCCTGGGGACCATTCAGGCTTGTTCGCACTTATATAATTATATATATATATAATTATAGTATACAAAAATAATAGGGGTGGCAGAAGAAAATATTAAAGTGTTCAATGAGAACCCACAAGACCTTTTCTGAATATTCTTTTTCCTTTTCCTTCTATATATATGTGGTTTGAATATATATATATATATATATATATATATATATATATATATATATATATATATATATATATATATATATATATATATATAACTATATATATATATATATATATATATATAACTATATATATATATATATATATAACTATATATATATATATATATATAACTATATATATATATATATATAACTATATATATATATATATATATATATATATATATATATATATATATATATATATAACATTATATATATTTATATAATTATATAATGCGATTCATTCGCATATAGTCCTGGGGACCATTCAGGCTTGTTCGCACTTATATAATTATATATATATATATATAATTATAGTATACAAAAATAATAGGGTGGCAGAAGAAAATATTAAAGTGTTCAATGAGAACCCACAAGGCCTTTTCTGAATATTCTTTTTCCTTCTCCGAGGCTATGGGTCCCTACAATTACAGCAACGAACAAAATCCCCCGTCCTAACCAAGCTAGAACCCTACGAACCCAAGCCACCCACCGAACACAATCGGCTTGATAAGACTCATTGTCTGCAGGTTTGATGAGTGTCGGGTTCAAGAGTTTGTATATTATTGGTAATTGTACCGTGGTTGAATCGGTGAAGGTTCAGCCACGGTACAAGTTTGAATATATTCAAGATGCCCGTGAACGAGCTTGTTCTCCCACAGGACTCTGGCGGCGGCTTCGACGAGGCCCTGGAGCTGGCCGGGTCCTGGGGCACTTGGCAGAAGCTGGTGTTTGTTATAGCTGACTTCTCCCAGATCTTCTGCGGCATGCACGCTGTTTCATCGGGTAAGTCCACTCTTCACTCGTCATCTTGAATAGTTCATCGTATTTTGACGTCGATGGGGGACGTTAGGCAGGAGATAGGCGAGTGGCTGTGGTCATTTGCCCTTATGCTCAACACTTTCCGCTTATGTTTCTGTCCACCCTGACCTAGCTTTACACACGTTATCGATGATCAAACCACAGCAAAAGATGAAACGACGTTTCTACATCTTCTGGTGTGTGGTTGGTCATCACCTAATGGATTACATAAGAACAAAGGTAACTGCAGAAGGCCTATTGGCCCATACGAGGCAGCTCCTATTTATAACCATCCAATCCCACTCATATACATGTCCAACCCGCGCTTGAAACAATCGTGGGACCCCACCTCCACGTTACGCGGTAATTGGTTCCACAAATCAACAACCCTGTTACCGAACCAGTGTTTATCCAAGTCTTTCTTAAATCTAAATTTATCCAATTTATACCCATTGTTTCGTGTTCTGTCTTGTGTTGATACTTTTAATACCCTATTAATATCCCCTTTGGTATGTCCATTCATCCACTTGTAAACCTCTATCATGTCACCCCTAACTCTTCGCCTTTCCAGTGACTTAGTCATCCTACGCTGGACACGTTCAAGTGAATCCACGACGAGGTCTTGTTAATATTGGTATCCTTCGTTTCTTCCCGAAGTTTCAGCTGTCGTACAGAGTCGTACAGGCAGAGTGCCAGAGTCACGGAAGGTAGCTAATGTGGTACCAATTTTTAAGAAAGGAGACAGATCACTAGCGTCAAACTATCGGCCAATTAGCCTAACGTCTATTGTGGGAAAGTTACTTGAATCGATAATTGCAAATACAATTCGTCTTCATCTTGAAAAACACAAATTAATAAATGAGTCGCAACATGGTTTTACAAATGGCCGTTCACGTTTACCAAATTTGCTCTCTTTTTATTCCAGCATAGTTGATAGTGGTAAGGATTGTGATGTTGTGTACCTTGATTTTAGCAAAGCTTTTGATACAGTGCCACATGAAAGACAGATTAAAAAAATAGAGGCTCATGGTATTGGAGGTGCTATATTAAGTTAGATTAGGGCATGGCTATTCCAAAGGAAACAGAGAGTTAGCATAAATGGGGTTAAGTCAGAGTGGGATAATGTGGCACAACATTAGTGGCACTCCACTAATGTTGTTAGTGGAGTGCCTAAAGGCTTTGTCCTGGGACTTCTGTTGTTTATAATATATATAAATGATTTAGATTCAGGTTTGAGTAGCAACATCTGCAAATTTGCAGATGATACAAAAATCGGTAGGGAAATTAACACGGAAGAAGACTCAATATCACTTCAAGTTTATCTAAATAGGGTTTGAAATGGTCAAATGATTGGCAAATGCAGTTTAAGGCTGATAAATGTAAAGTTCTGAGGCTAGGTAATGATGATAGAGTTACAAAATACGAGATAGATGGTGTTGAGATTGCGAAGTCGGATTGCGAAAGGGATAAGAACATAAGAACATAAGAACAAAGGTAACTGCAGAAGGCCTATTGGCCCATGCGAGGCAGCTCCTATTCTATAACCACCCAATCCCACTCATATACTTGTCCAACCCGTGCTTGAAACAATCGAGGGACCCCACCTCCACAATGTTACGCGGCAATTGGTTCCACAAATCAACAACCCTGTTACTGAACCAGTATTTACCCAAGTCTTTCCTAAATCTAAACTTATCCAATTTATACCCATTGTTTCGTGTTCTGTCCTGTGTTGATACTTTTAATACCCTATTAATATCCCCCCGGTTATGTCCATTCATCCACTTGTAAACCTCTATCATGTCACCCCTAACTCTTCGCCTTTCCAGTGAATGCAACTTAAGCTTTGTTAATCTTTCTTCATATGAAAGATTTCTAATTTGGGGAATTAACTTAGTCATCCTACGCTGGACACGTTCAAGTGAATTTATATCCATTCTATAATATGGCGACCAAAACTGAACTGCATAATCTAAATGGGGCCTAACTAGAGCAAGATATAGCTTGAGAACCACACCAGGTGTCTTGTTACTAACGCTGCGATTAATAAATCCAAGTGTCCGATTTGCCTTATTACGAACATTTATGCATTGATCCTTTTGTTTTAAATTCTTACTAATCATAACTCCCAGATCCCTTTCGCAATCCGACTTCGCAATCACAACACCATCTAGCTCGTATCTTGTAACTCTATCATCATTACCTAACCTCAGAACTTTACATTTATCAGCATTAAACTGCATCTGCCAATCCTTTGACCATTTCAAAACCCTATCTAGATCAACTTGAAGTGATAGTGAGTCCTCCTCCGAATTAATTTCCCTACCGATTTTCGTATCATCGGCAAATTTGCAAATGTTGCTACTCAAACCTGAATCTAAATCATTTATATATATTATAAACAACAGAGGTCCCAGGACAGAGCCTTGAGGCACTCCACTTACAACATTTTCCCACTCTGACTTGATTCCATTTATACTAACTCTCTGTTTCCTTTGGTATAGCCATGCCCTAATCCAGCTTAATATAGCACCCCCAATACCATGAGACTCTATCTTTTTAATCAGTCTTTCATGTGGCACTGTATCAAAAGCTTTGCTAAAGTCAAGGTATACAACATCGCAATCCTTACCACTATCAACTGCCTCAACAATGCTAGAATAAAAAGATAACAAATTTGTTAAACATGAACGGCCATTTATAAAACCATGTTGCGACTCAATTATTAATTTATGTTTTTCAAGATGAAGACGAATTTTATTTGCTATTATAGATTCGAGTAACTTTCCCACAATAGACGTTAGGCTAATTGGTCGATAGTTAGACGCAAGTGATCTATCTCCTTTCTTAAAAACTGGTATCACATTAGCAACTTTCCAAAACTCCGGCACTCTGCCTGACTCTATTGATTTATTAAATATGGTTGACAGTGGGTCACAAAGCTCCTCTTTGCATTCTTTAAGCACCCTGGCAAACACTTCATCCGGCCCTGGGGATTTGTTTGGTTTGAGTTTTACTATTTGTTTAAGAACATCCTCCCTGGTAACTGTTAAACTCGTCAACCTGTCCTCGTCCCCACCCACATAGACTTGTTCGGCTGAAGGCATATTGTTAAGTTCCTCTTTAGTAAATACAGATACAAAATATTTATTAAAAATACTACTCATCTCTTCATCACTATCTGTTATTTGACCTGTCTCAGTTTTTAATGGACCTATCCTTTCCCTAGTCTTAGTACGATATAACTGAAAAAACCCTTTAGGATTTGTCTTTGCTTGCCCTGCTATGCGAACTTCATAGTTTCTTTTTGCTTTCCTTATCTCTTTTTTAACATTTCTAACCAGTTGTACGAATTCCTGTTCTAAAGTGACCTCCCCATTTTTAATCCTTTTGTACCAAGCTCTCTTTTTACCTATAAGGTTCTTCAAATTCTTTGTTATCCACTTTGGGTCATTAGTATTCGATCTATTCAATTTGTATGGTATACTACGTTCCTGTGCTTTGTTTAGAATATTCTTAAATAAGTTATATATTGAATCCACATCGAAATCCCCATTTAAGTCACCTATCGCTGGGTTCATGTCTCGCTCCAAGACCGGCCCACACCCCATACCCAAGACTTTCCAATCAATTTGACCCAAAAAATTTCTTAGGCTATTAAAATCAGCTTTTCGAAAATCTGGCACTTTAACAGAATTTTCTCCTACTGGTCTATTCCATTCTATGCTAAATCTGATTTCTTTGTGATCACTGCTCCCTAGCTCACTCCCTATTTCGATGTAATTAATTTGCGTTTCCCTGTTAGTTAACACTAAATCTAAAATATTATTTTCCCGTGTTGGTTCCTTAATGTGTTGCGTAAGAAAGCAATCGTCAATTAATTCTAGAAAATCTTCTGCTTCACTATTCCCTGTTTTGTTCAACCAGTTTATTCCGCTAAAATTAAAGTCACCCATGACATAAATACTGTTAGATCTAGATGCTCTAGATATTTCATCCCATAGATGCTTTGCTTCCATTCTGTCTAAATTTGGTGGCCTATATATTACTCCTATTATAATATTATTAGCTTTTTCGTTTAATTCAATCCAAATAGTTTCTGTGTGTGGCTCTGTTTTGATTCCCTCTTTGAGACTACATTTCAAATTGTCCCTAACATATATGGCTACTCCACCTCCTCGTCTAATATATCTATCTGTGTGAAATAGTTTAAATCCATATATTTGATATTCAGCTAATAGTTCTCTATTTTCTACATTCATCCACGTTTCGGTAAGTGCAATAATATCTATTTTTTCTGTGCAGACAAGAGCATTTAATTCGTTAATTTTATTTCTTAGACTTCTACTGTTAGTGTAATATACCCTAAGTGAATTGTTATTTTGCGGACCTTCTCTTTCCCTGGTCGTTTTGCCAATTCCTTTCTCCCACAAACACATACTTTTATTACCTCCTTCCTCCAAATCAATTCCCATACCTCTATCTACTAACAGTTTAAACCCAAACAAACACCTCTAACCACTTCTTCTAACGAGTTCGCAACAGCAACAACCCCAGCTCTCGATAGATGCACCCCATCACGAGCATACATTTCATTTCTTCCATAGAAGTGTTCCCAGTTGTCTATGAAAGATATTGCATTTGATTTGCAATATCTTTCCAGCCGGCAATTGACACCAAGTGCCCTCGATATCCATTCATTTCCCACTCCCTTTCTTGGAAGAATGCCACATATGATCGGGATTCCTCCCTTGCTCCTAACTAACTCTATGGCTGTTTTATACCTCTGAATCAGTTCCTCACTCCTAACTCGACCAACATCATTTCCTCCCACGCTAATGCAAATAATGGGATTGTTCCCATTACCAGCCATAATATCATTCATGTTGTTTATAATATCACCAATGCCAGCTCCGGGATAGCAAACCCTTAACCTGTTCCCCCTATCTCTAGCACAAAACGTTCTATCCAAATACCTTATCTGGGAATCTCCCACAACTAATGTTTGCTTAGGTACTTCCTTTACCCTCTGAGGGGCCTGCGCTTCCTTTCTCTTCGTTGCTTTCCCTTTTGCGCGATCCACAGTCTCTCCACAGCACTCGTCCTCCAAAACGTCAAATGAATTAGAGGTTGCTATGGCGTTTGAAGGCGGCTTTATCAAAGTCTTCTTAAGGCCCCTGTCTTTCGCAACTCTCCAAGACGAGGTCCCTTTACTGCTGGTCTCCTCCTTCGTTACTTCTCGTTGTTCTTTAAGCTGACGCACCTCCTCCCGCAGAAAGTCCAACTCTGTCCTCAGGGCTCCCACTAGAGTCACCAGGTCCTTAACTACAACTTCCATATTGCTATGATAATGTAACAACACTCAGGAGCTCCGGTTAACACAACCTCTCACTGTGAATTCACCTGACCGAGATTGTTTCAAGCGCGGGTTGGACATGTATATGAGTGGGATTGGGGGGTTATAAGAACATAAGAACAAAGGCGACTGCAGAAGGCCTATTGGCCCATACGAGGCAGCTCCTATTCTATAACCACCCAATCCCACTCATATACTTGTCCAACCCGCGCTTGAAACAATCGAGGGACCCCACCTCCACCACGTTACGCGGCAATTGGTTCCACAAATCTACAACCCTGTTACTGAACCAGTATTTACCCAAGTCTTTCCTAAATCTAAACTTATCCAATTTATACCCACCGTTTCGTGTTCTGTCCTGTGTTGATACTTTTAATACCCTATTAATATCTCCCTTGTTATGTCCATTCACCCACTTGTAAACCTCTATCATGTCGCCCCTAACATAAGAACTAAATATATATGTTATAGATAGGAGCTGCCTCGTATGGGCCAATAGGCCTTCTGCAGTTACCTTTGTTCTTATGTTCTTATAAATAAGGCCTAACCTATATTAATAAATTAAAAGTATTAACACAAGACAGAACACGAAACAACGGGTATAAATTGGATAAGTTTAGATTTAGGAAAGACTTGGGTAAATACTGGTAACAAAGTTCGGTAACAAAGTTGTTGATTAGTGGAACCAATTACCGAGTAACGTGGTGGAGGTGGGGTCCTTCGATTGTTTCAAACGTGGGTTGGACATGTATATGAGTGGGATTGGGTGGTTATAATTGTGAAGCTACTGAATGTGAAGCTACTGAACCCCTGCGCATCAAACTCAACATTAATCCAACGACAGCAGCTGCATTAGATGCACATTCCACCGCCACTACAATGATTAGAAAAGCTGTTGAGGAATGGGACTCATTAGTGAGCATTCTGCATCTACATCCGCCACCAAGATAATGTTAATAAAACAAGATTAAAACCAGTGCAATAAAACAGAAGCGACAAATAAGCAGAGAAAAAGGAGAAGTCCTCTCCTCCATTTTAAACTTAGACCCAAATATCACAGGAAAAAGGTTATCATGTATAACCAAACTCAATTACGGGCTCACCATAGCCCGTGCTACATGGACACTCCGTCCCGAATAGCTAAATCTTTAACAACAACAACAACGGTTATAATTAGGAGCTGCCTTGTATGGGGCCAATAGGCCTTCTGCAGTTACCTTTGTTCTTATGTTATAATTTCCGTTCTAGTTACCTCACCCCCCCTTCAACCTCAGGTATCTCCCTCACCTCACCTGTAATGCCAAAGTTCTATAAAAGGTACCGACGTGAATTTAAACTTAGTCATTTAGCTGAAGCTGAATTTAAAACATCAATAATTTATCAGTTCTGTTGAGTCGTCAGAAATGGATTATCCTGTTCTGTCCAGTAGCAAACTTGCCGACCTTATGTCCAGGACTGATCATATCGACACGGGTCACTATGGGTTTGTAGGTCGCGTTCCTTGGCGAGGATGCCAGGCCATCCTGAAGGTGATGAAGAATGATAATGTGCTTTCCTTCAGAAGAGAGGTATTTATCCTGCAGAGATTGCAGGGTTCTGGGGGAGCTCCACACCTGCTCGCAGTGTGCAACGACCCGCAGGCCTTAGTGATGTCCTCCAGGGGCGAGATAACACTCTATGAAGCCCTCCGACGTCAACTACCCGACTGGTGCGTGATCTACATCGTTACGAGAGTTGGTGTGCTGCTGCGGGAGCTTCACGACTGTGGTGTCATACACGGTGATATTCACGACAAAAACATCATGGTGACGCTCTCTCCTGACGGCTCTAATCCCGAAGTATTTCTAATTGACTTTGGCCTGTCGACCCTCTCTCAAGAGGCCCTGTCTGATTTAAAGGACACAGCCATAGAGGAAATACTAAACAAAGGTCGTACCTACTCCACAGATATCATAGATTTTTTTATGATCTTGCAAATTACTTTAAATGCAATAAGGATACAGTCAAAAACCGTAAATGAAATTCTAAAAATGACTTGGCTGTTTGAGGGTGACCCGAAGGCTCTCGACGCCCTACTGAAAAAGTTAAACTTTCTCCTGACTGAGGTCTTGGAGAATAACGTCCCTAATTCTCCTGAAAGGGCTTCTCTATGTATCCTCGGGTAATTTCCTAGACTCCGCAGCATCTCCCCCCCAAAGCTTAGATTTCTCCTATTTTATGCATGGTAATTAATTCCCGTTTTAAAAAATTATTATTTGTATAATTTTAAATGTGTATAATTTTGTAATTTGTAAATTGTAATTTTCTCACATAAATAAAACATAAAATCCTTAAATGTTATTTTGGTTTGGTGTTTAACCTCTGGAGGGTTATTACAACCCTTATTTGTAGGAAGAAGTATGGGTGGGGCCTGAGGTAGAAGGAATAGGTGAGAAAGGCAGCTTCTTTATATTCACCAAACTTAGGAAGTTTGACGATTGACGACGTTTCGTCGTCAATCGACTTGAGAATGGTCCAGTGGCGGATATAGATGTACAGGCCTACAGCCACTTGTAGAAAAAAAAACATTTTCCCACTCTGATTTAACCCTATTTATACTTGATTTAGAATCTTGAACCACTTTTTTAACATTGAAAGTGTATTCGCTGAGGGTTTTGCATCTAATGCAGCTGCTCTTGTTGGATGAATGTTGAGTTTGATGCGCAGGGCTTCAGTTGCTTCACATTCTAGTAAATAATGCAATAGTGGCGCCTCTGCATCTGTTCCACAGATATGATACTCTTTAACTAATGGGTTTATCACTTGTACCCAAGTCTGTGTATGGCCAGAGGCTACTGCAATGCCTCTGGATATCTTTTTACCAAGCTTGAACAAGTAGTAGCCAGTGGCTTGTTAGTACCACATCGCAGTGGATCGTCCTTCCGCTACTTTGGCTCTGTGGCGTCTTTTGATAGTTGGGAGTATTTTCTTCTTTATTTGCTCCTTAATCTGTGAAAAACTTGGAGTTAAAATACGTAGAGCAGTAACAGTTTTTGCTAGTGAGTCTGCCTTTTCATTACCATCTATGCCAATGTAACTTGGTACCCAATTTAGGGAAATTGACAGCCCTAGATTGTGTGCTTCTGTTCTGTTCCTATATGTAGGATTTCTGTGATGAGTTGTGTTGTATATATATCCAGCCAGATCTGTGCTAGCTGGATAACAATGCCTGGAGCGAAGATTTAGAGTCGGAATGAATGATGATATCGTGTAAATTATTCTCAATTGCATAATATATGGCCACTTTCAGGGCATATAATTCTGCTTGCAATGTTCAGCACGCACTATTCATGCTCCAGTAAGCTTCGTGGTAATTGGTGTAGCCTGCTGCCCCAGCAGAATCTCTTCTAGTGTGATCTATACTTCAAATATATGCAGAGACATGGCTACACATGGTAAGATGAAGAGCCAGTCTCTTTTCTTCCTAGAATTGCAACCAGTTAGGCAGACGACTTAACTTTAGCTGAGGATGTCTTTCTCCAATTGACTTTCTGAGAAGTAGTGAATCAACAACTAGGTTGTATATGCAGCAAGAAGTGTAAGTGGTGTATAATAACACACGTACAAACACGTGACTTAGGCCACAAGTGGCATATTCTGTCATGCCCTGAAGACCAGAGAAAGTATATATCACTGTTAATAATAGCAATAAGTAAAATAATTACTGGGAGTACTGGGAAGCCTGCAATAATTAGGGGTAACGGAGGAATAATGGATTGACAAGCCAATTGGTAACTTGTCCCCGGTAGAGGGGCTACTTGAAATGGTGGGCTCCCTCAGGTATATATGCAATATATAATATATATGCCCTCGTTTGTCATTATCAATCAATCTCGTCTCCCTACAGTGTACCTGAGTTACACGCCTGAGCACTGGTGTCGGGTCCCCGGCCTGAACGACGCTGTAGGAGACCTGTGGAACGCCTCTCTTCCCCTTCTGAACGTCTCCAGCCCCTGGTAAGCACCGGACACGTTCCTTCGTATCAGGGCTCCTGTCGGTGCTGTCTTTGTAACTTATTGGAGTATTTCAGAGTTCAGTGTTATTAATATTCTAGTTACAGAATAAGTTTCATATGTTGAATATGGCTGGACACTAGACACCCATCCCACTCGTCGGTAACAAAGGAACTGGCGACGGTCGTTTCGGTCCGTCCTGTGGACCAATTATATGACTTGAATAGTCCGCTCAGAAATCTCGTCACTACCTTTATTTTAGAGATAAGTGACTTGGATGTCTTATTATTCCGATTTATTTAAATATCACTCTTTTAAGTGATATATTCATATATTATAAACCAGAGGTTTTAAACTGTCGGTAGCTGTTTAGTCATATTTGGGAGGGCGAGCTTGCAGGGTGGGCGAGCAGAGTGGATACATTGTTTGGTGGCTAACTGGGCGGGTGGGTGCGTGGATGAGGGGGTGGATGGCTTGGTGAGTGAGTGGCATGAGGGGTGGGGGAGAAGGCGGACACTCCCCTCCTCTCAGCTCCACCAGACCCACCGACAAGTATCTCCCACCCCCTCCAGCTGCGTCTAGAGGGTCTGTGTGCGGGATTAATACCATACTGTTCATATTTTCTGCTACGTTCCTGTAGCCGAGGATGTCAGGCAGAGTGCCCTGCCTGACATCCTAATTTGTGATCAAGTGCTGTCGGGTCGTTGGGCATATAGCCTCGGCTACCAATGACTTTTGAGCAGTCAGTGTGGTCAGGTGGTCAGAGAACTGGACTCGCCAGTTCCCTCTTCCATCCCCTCGTCCTCCCCACCATCCCTCACTCCACCATTCCCCTCTTCCATTTTTCTCTCATCATTGTACAATCATGATCAATATCTACAGTATAATCCACGAAAACATTTTAATAAACGAAAGAGGTGGATCTTGGCTGCTCTTTGGCATCTGGTTTGCCTAACCAGTTTCTCATCCAACTCCTTAAGAAACTTTATGTACATTTTCCAAGGCGCCAAACGTTTTTAATAGCTGTAAATATATGGAGTATATTAATAAATGAATAATGAGCCTTAACTGCCTCTTGACCCACACGACGGCGGTAATCTAACCAACAAAACCTTTCCTTCCTCGCCGCCTTCAGGAGCGACAAGACGGGCTACGACAAGTGCCAGTACTACGACCACAACTACACAGCGGTGATGCCGGACCTGGTCGGTGGAGAGGGCGCCGCCGCCCGTCACCTCGCCACCAACGTCCCGACCGTCGCCTGTGACTCCTGGGTGTTTGATCCCTCAGTCTTCCAGTCTACTCTGGTCTCTGAGGTGAGGACCGTGTCTCTGTTCAACCTGTTTTCGTATTTAATTCAAAGATATTTACTTTATACGGCACAATTTTGAGGCCCTAATCATTGTAAACAAAGCCGCATTGATTGTTGAAAGAGACAAGGTAATTATTGCACCAATAAGTACAATAATGACGACCATGTGAACAAGACCTCCCCAGTAGGTACAATAATGACGACCTTGTGCCACAGTTCTCGCTGGTGTGTAGTCGTCGCTGGATGATGGCCACCGTCCAGGCCTCCTACATGAGCGGTCTCCTCGTGGGTTCCCTCGTCATGGGTCAGCTCTCAGACAGGTGAGGTCCTCTAAAGACCTTTCATATCGTATCATTGCGAGAAATGTTTAGCTAACATTTTAATGAGGACCGTTTCTTCTGGGTACAAGCCTTCGGCTAGTGATAGCCGAAGGCTTGTAGAGAAGGAAAGAGAAGGGGAAAGGTCTGAACCTTCCCCCTCCTGCAGGGCTACCTCATCTAGTATGCTATAACAAAATACACGCTATTGCCGTATTCCCCTTCCTGTGAACTGATCAGAGATTCTTGATTTAGAACGAACTTGCAATTTCTATAAAATACCATTCAAGTTACGTTTCATACTCTTTCTCTTGCAGGTATGGTCGCCGCCCCATGTCTGTGCTGTGTGCTGTGGCCGCAGCGCTGGCTGGCACTGTGGTGAGCTTCGCCAAGACCTACATGCAGTTTTTGGTACTTCGCTTCGTCACTGCCATCCTCAGTGCTGGCTTGATAGTCATCAACTTCGTCCTGGGTTGGTATACAAGACACTTGAGTACGAACAAAACAGTGTTTTGACAAGTGAGCTGAGAGAGAGAGAGTCCAAGTCCGACTGAGAGAGATGAGATCACATTAGCCTCATAGAGAAAAGGGTATTTATTTGTATTAGTGTCTAGGGACCCAAGTTTTGGTTCAGTGAGTAGTATGCCAATGATCTGGGTCAAGGGGTATTATGTCCATGAACTGGACCAAGAAATAGTAGTTGCATGGATTTATTCAATGAGTATTATGCCCATGATTTGAGCTTGCAAGTATAGAGCATTGTTTACGTTAGTGACAATGTTACGTTATGTTATGATAGCATGTTTAAAGCTATTGAGTAGAAGGGGGCCATTTAAACTAGTGAGTAGAAGGGGCATGATTTAAGCTACTGAGTAGAAGGGGCATGATTTACGCTATTGAGTAGAAGGGGCATGATTTAGGCAAATAAGCTTATTGGAAATTATTTGTATCAGATGAGGAGACACCATTCTTCACCAGAGAGCTGAGGATATCAGCTGGGAATTTAACTGAACAAGGCCAATACGTTGGGTCAACTATCTAAGTAGGTTCATAGGTAGGGATCTGTACTGTGTTGAAGGCCATGATGTAGGTCTTGTGTTGAGGGCCCTTATTTTAGTAACACTGAATGAACCCCTATATGGGATTTGACTTACATTGAAGAGATTTCACTATTTTTATAGTGTTTCGTTCAGACTATCGGATAGAGTGACTGTATCTAAATTGCAGTCGCACTTTAAATTTAGATTTTGTTGTTATATATTTTTGCTTAAGAGGTCTCTCGCTTCAGCATAGGAAATTTTAGTCCATCCTGAACTACACTTGATTTTCCTGCAGTGTCGAAAGTTGCGTAAAAAGAGGCCTTTATTGCTTCCTTCACCACTTCCTTCTCCCATCGGTGATGGAGGTAGGGAAACTTGAGGCACTCAAGTGTTGACTCCTTCCCTCCTCCTACAGTGATGGAGGTAGTGAAGCCCGAGGCACGTACCATGACTGGGATGATGTACATCTTCTTCGTTGGTCTTGGCACAGCCATCCTCCCGGGCATGGCCTACTTCATCAGGAGCTGGCGGTACCTGGAGCTGGCTATTGGTCTGTCCTCATTCATCCTCGTTGCTTACTACTGGTAAGTATGCGGGTGACGCCACCTTCTACCCAAATGTTTAACTGAAGTTTAAGTATATTCTTGTATCACATTTCTTCATATGGTGACTCCAGTCGTCACAAGTTCTGCGGTAATTAATGTCTTCAAGAGTGTGATGTCAAGGTACATTGAGGTTCCTAGAGCAAGTGGCTGGAGGGTGGAGGGTGTCTTAGGACCATTGAGCTCGAAGTTGTCAAGGTACATTGAGGTTCCTTGAGCAAGTGGCTGGAGGGTGGAGCCGTGTCTTAGGACCATGGAGCTCGAAGTTCTCAAGGTACATTGAGGTTCCTTGAGCAAGTGGCTGGAGGGTGGAGGGTGTCTTAGGACCATGGAGCTCGAAGTTGTCAAAGACGATGCGTTCTGAGCATCACCGCTTGTATCCTGTCTCACAGGATCCTGCCGGAGTCTCCGAGGTGGCTCGCATCTCAGGGGAGGTTCCCAGAAGCGCTGAAAATCCTGAAGAACATCGCTCGGAGGAACGGGAAGGAGCTGCCCTCTGACGAGCTCGTCTTGAAGCTCATCTCCCGGGCCTACACCAAGGTAGGTTCCACAAGCCACACTATTCCTACTACGGGTCGTGTTGATAATATTTTGTGCAGGCTTACAGTGGGAGACATCAGATGTTCATTAACCAGCTACCATGAGCCATTTTCAATATAAGCAATTTGTCCAAGAATAGCAGTACGCTAATTTGCCAATAGGTTAAAGCATGTAATTTATTCCCTTTTAAACCCCGGCACCACATTCCCAGTCCTACATGATCCCTTTACTCAACTCTAATGATTATTAAATTTATAAGACAAGGGCTTGCTAAGCTTAACCATACATTCTTGTAGATCCCAACCAAATATCTAGTCTGGCTTTGGGGACTTTCATTTGCTATTGAAATAAGTTTATTGAGGTATAACTACACACAAAGTGATAAGGTACCTCGAGCCATTCTCACCCTGTTCCAATTTCTTATTTGTTTGATAAACTTCCTCCCAGGTAATTACTAGTATATTCCCATTGTCCTCTTAATGAACCACATATATTTAACTGCATAGAAAATAAAAAATAAATATTCTAGTAAATACAACACAATCTTCTAAAATTATAGTACTTAGTCCACACTCAGCCCTTGTACATCACTATGTATATCACTCTCAACTATCACTATCACAGCACAATTCTTGGTTTGGTGTTGGACTCGTGGCCTACTAATCTAAATTCCAATCCTAACGCCCCTCTGAATAATCAATCAATTTCTACCATTACTCACATTTAACAAATATTGTGATAAAGATATATATCAAAATAATGAATCTTGTTATCCAGGCAGACGAGGCGACGGCCACACAATCCTCCAAGTGGTACAGTGGTATTGTCAACGCTATGCGCGCCCAGTTCACCCTAGTTCGAACCCCGGTGATGCGACGAAGATGCATGATATCCTTCTTCCTGTGGTTCGTGTCAGCCAGCGTCTACTATGGCCTAATCTTCTCCGGAGCCAACATTAAGGCCGATCCCTTCCTCATGATCTTCATATCCGGCTTGGTGGAGCTGCCCTCAGCCATTGTCTTCATCTCCCCGCTGGATAAGTAGGTGGCTCTTTGGTCTTCCAAGTTCCTAACATAGTTTCTATTATCGTTTGTGGTGCCCTTAATAATCTTCCAGGGAAGGAAGTAATTTGAAGGAGGAAAGAGGAGGAGAGTGATAATAGGGGAAGTATAGGATAGTCTTGTAGTTGGTTCGGACGGGCTACATGTGGTTCAATTCAGTACAAAGGCTCTAGAAGTAGATGGGACCTAAGGTAGAACACGGCCCTTCCGTGGTGACCTCCCAGGGCGCCTCCCATTGGTCTTCTTGGTCACTGAACTGAAGCACAGTCACTTCTTAAGACTTCACTACATAGTCCCCTTGGCTTGGCACCTTGTGATAATTACTTCTAAAGACGTCATACCTTTGCCACCTTCATCTTCACTTCTTAAACACGCGATACAAATACAAGTACAACAGTAAACACACTTTTTACTTTAATTTATAAATCTTAATTAACCAATTACACCTCTTCTCCAGTTAATAATTCTAATTGAAAGAAATAAGCAGTTATTCACAAGGATGTTTCTGTTGGTCTTCTACAGGTTCGGTCGACGGGCTACCATGAGCGGGCTCTTCATCGCCTCTAGTGCCTGTCTGCTGGCCATCCTCGCTGTGCCCCAGGGTGAGAGAGAGAGAGACAGCGAGACAGACAGAGAGAGCGAGTTATTTATCTCGCTAGATCCACTAACAGTTATTTCATGGAAAGGAAACCTCCCTATTGTTTCACGGACAAACTTTGGGTGGATTTTCTACTTTTCTGGATACGAATAATCTGATTCCAATTTGGTCCTTTGCAACAGTTGATACTTCAAGCTCTGCTTTGTCAAACGGACTCATTACACATTGATGTCAATTTATTGAATTGTATTCAATTCCTCGAGTTGCATATTGATGTACTATTGAATCATATTAGCTTAATCTTGATGAGGATTTACTTACTCCTTTCCTCTCTTGCTTCGTCCTCCATCCTACCTCATTCCCCTTCCTGCCTCCTCTGCCTCCTTCCCTCCCAGCAGACCAGATCTACGTGAACTTCTTCCTGGTGAGTTTTGGCAAGTTCTTCACCACGGCGGTGTTCCAGCAGCAGTACCTCTACACGGGGGAACTGATGCCCACTAAGGTCCGCAACATAGCGGTGGGGTCCAGCTCCATGATGGCCAGGATTGGTTGTATCATCACCCCCTACATCATCACTTTACTTGTAAGTCCTCAGTCACCACAGTGGTGGTTCACCCCTTACATCACCAAACTACAATGACAATTTTGACACTTTTGGAATACGTATTATTGTGTTCCCTATTCTAAGGATGACGTGTTTACACCGGCAGGGCGACGTCCACTACGTTCTCCCTTCAACACTCTTCGGCATCTTGTCTCTGGTTGCTGGCCTCCTGACCCTCCTCCTCCCGGAGACCAACCACATGCCCCTCCCGGAGACCGTCGAGGAGGTCGAGGCCATGTCCAAGTAGCAGGTGCCGGTAAGAGGAGACGGTAATACCTGAGAAGCAGCAGCAAGGAACGGAGGAGAAGAGGGCTACAACGGGGCGACAGTCGCCATGGTCGAAGTCAGGGGAACTGGCACAAAGAAATAGACAAACTCCGCCAAAATACAGCACGTAACTACGACGTGGATACAACGTTCGAACAAGGTTTAACACCTAACAAGTTGTAACAACGTTGTAATACGTCATTAAAACGTTATAACTAGTTGTAACAACTTTATTACAAGTTGTAAGAAGGGAATCATAGGGACTGTTACGTAGCAAGAAAGGGAGGTGAAAGAGGCTATAAAGACAAGCTAAGTACTAGCTACTGCACAACTAGCAGGTACTAGTACAGGAAGACAAACCCGCAGCAGCAGCTGGGAGGCGGTTGAAAAAAAGGGAACATTGCAGTAGCTTAGTACGTCAATGTTTGTACTATGGTGCACAGTTACAAACAATACTAGCTAAACAAGAAGATGGGTTAGACACGAATATATATTCTTAAGTCAGGGTTAATATTACGAAACTTTAGTATAAAATAATTGTACTGAATTACCATGCCGTTCTGATAATTATAAATTTTAATTAATCGCATAATTTGGATATTTTTAATGGTTTCTAAAGACATTTATATTATTCCCATAATCATAATTTCACATTTTAATTAATCACGCAATTTCCATACTAACTTTATCAATCATTCAGCGATAGCCTTCTCTCATCCCGTACGTCGACTTTTTGACGGAATCGAGAAATCCGTTAAAAATGTAACGTACTAGTTAACATTAAATCGCCACATTATTGACGTATATTCTACGCATCAGCCTCGATAGGTTAAGTGAGTTGCTTGAATTCCAGCGTTTCTGTGTAGGCAAAACGTTGCATTTTTAACGTAGTGGCAAAGACCACACGCAAAATGTATAAATGTATTCTTGTATTATATAAAAAGATACCAGTCCTGTGGGAAAGATTTTATTCATTATTATTATTTCTAAGTATCAACACATATCATTAAGTGTCCTTATATATCCAAGCTGCATTCCTGTAATTCCTATGCTGTGAAAAGCAATGAAATTAATTCATTACTAAAGCTATTTGTGCTATTCACTATTCACATTCACGTGCATGCAAACAATCGTGTGTAAATATTCAATATTTGTAGGTGTATTTTTGTAAAACAGAATTATTTTTTGTGACGTATTTCAAATAAAGCAAACAATTAAGATTGATCTAGTCGTCATTTTGTCTCCCCTATTTTTTGGAGTTACTGGATATTATTAATGGTTTCTAAAGACATTTTCCTACGGCCTTGGAGGCTCCCTTTCCTAGTGTTCTTGTGGCCTGTCTGGCAAGATTCTCCAATCACTGTGGAGGATAACTGCTAAACGCCACCTTGTAAAGGACACCCAACAAGTTGAACATTGACCTTGATAGGTTAGGCGAGTTCTCCAGGTACGTACGCTTCTAGATAAGCATTACAATTGAAGTAGTTTTGCCTGTCAAATCATGAAAACTGGCTTCTGCATTGGCTTCATTCTATTTTTCCATTAGTTTTCTTGAAGATAGATTCATAAAGTTTTATTCGTAACTTTTACAAATCATTACGAATTTAAAAAAAAAACACCATTTTGGTAAAGTTGAGCATAATCGCGCATTCCTTCAGTACCCAAGATAATAGCTATCTGGTGCTGGTGCTTAATTCCTTCATAGTTTCCTATGTAGTTCGTTACCTCTCTTCATGGTTATCTCCAGATGTTATAGTGCAGGGGAAATAGGGCGGCACTTGTGTGTGAGAGAGGGAGAGTAGCAACGCCTGTTAGTAGCCACGTGCACTGCCACTGTTTACATTGGAAGTTTGCCAGCACGCACCTTACGCTACCAGCCGGAACACTACGAGGCAACGCCACGGGTGTAGGATGGGAATCGGTGAAGGAGGGAGGGAATGGAGAGGTAAGGGTGAATGGGATAGGGGTGAGGGAGGGGGAAATTGTAAATGGAGGATTGATGGAGATGGACGGGGATAAGGGAAGAGAAGGGGTGAAGTAGGGAATAGTGAAAGAAATGAAGGCGGGAATGGTGAAGGAAACGGAATGGAGAGGAATGCGGAAGGAGGGTTGAGGTGAGAGAAGGAGCAAGAAAACACCTTAGGTCAAAGACACCTAGCCACCAGGGTATAGAATACAACAAGCCACCAGGGTATAGAATACAACAAGCCACCAGGGTATAGAATACAACAAGCCACCAGGGTGTAGAATACAACAAGCCACCAGGCTATAGAATACAACAAGCCACCAGGGTATAGAATACAACAAGCCACCAGGCTATAGAATACAACAAGCCACCAGGGTGTAGAATACAACAAGCCACCAGGGTGTAGAATACAACAAGCCACCAGGGTATAGAATACAACAAGCCACCAGGCTATAGAATACAACAAGCCACCAGGGTATAGAATACAACAAGCCACCAGGCTATAGAATACAACAAGCCACCAGGGTGTAGAATACAACAAGCCACCAGGGTGTAGAATACAACAAGCCACCAGGGTATAGAATACAACAAGCCACCAGGCTATAGAATACAACAAGCCACCAGGGTGTAGAATACAACAAGCCACCAGGGTGTAGAATACAACAAGCCACCAGGGTGTAGAATACAACAAGCCACCAGGGTATAGAATACAACAAGCCACCAGGGTATAGAATACAACAAGCCACCAGGGTATAGAATACAACAAGCCACCAGGCTATAGAATACAACAAGCCACCAGGGTGTAGAATACAACAAGCCACCAGGGTGTAGAATACAACAAGCCACCAGGGTGTAGAATACAACAAGCCACCAGGGTGTAGAATACAATCAAAATGTTAGAAGACCCATAGTCCGACAAATAACACTCCAAGATGAGACGCCCCACTTATAAAGCCGGTGGCCCAGAAGCTTCATTCAACTCACAGACAAAAACCCAACAACACGAGAAAAAAAAAAGCCATCCAAAAATATGACGCTGCAACACGAAGCCGCAAAACATGTACATATGAGCATACAAATACTCCCCAACATGCATATAGAAACATCCAAATATGTAGACAGAACTGTAACACCCTCGCCAGCTGCCGGGTAAAACGCAGCAAGCCTAGCCCAGCCGCCAAATATATCTTGCCACTGTACAACAACACGCTAGTTAAAATAACTCACTGTACTCCACATTTCTACAACTTTTCCTTCGCCTATACCTATCATATTTACTCACAGCACAAAGGAGTTTAGTGAGGGGAAAGTGGAGGAGAGAGTGAGGGGGAAGGCTAGGTGTGGGAAGGATAGATGAGGGGAGAGGTGTGGAGAAGCACGTGGCGGCCGACGGATGTAATAGGGACGGAGGGTGTGTAGTCGGGGGATAGGAGGAGGGGGAATCACTGCCCTATATTCCTCGCTCCGTATTTCTGGACATGAGTGGATAGAACTGGTTCCTGGTGGTGGCGGGGGGGGGGGGTGTTGGAGGGGGCCAGGAATGTCTAGTCACCAGCCGCACAAGGACCTGCGCATCCTTATCGTCTCTTGTTGCTCTTATCTTGTACTTCACAACAAGTACAATAGCATCTTTATTTTCATAATGCTTTATTTGTTATTTTGTTTGTCTATACACATAATGGGAATAAATGGGGCTTGTGTACCCAATTCTTATAAAATAGGAACCTTGTTGTCCCTTTCACTGATAGTGTCAGTTTGAAACGGATTCTTCAGTTGTTGGAACATTTTACATTGAATAAATAGTAGGAACTAAGGCACATCTGGGAACATTCCGTGCGTAGGTAATGCCCAAGATTACCATCAGAGTGCCGGCGGGCTGATGGGCTAAATAGCCTCAGCTACCATCAGTTTTTGTCCGGTCGTGATGGTCAAGTGGATTAAGGCGTCCTGTAGATACCAGTTGCGCTGCTCCTGGCAGTATGGGTTCGAGTCACTTCTGGGGTGTGAGTTTTCAGTTATATATATATATTATATATCTGATCAGATGGATCGGGCCCCGGTAGTACAGTCTGGTTAGTTCTCGACGCACAATCGAGAATTCCGGATCCGGGACAGAAATGGTTGGGCACATTTTCTTTCACCTAACGCCTTTGTTCACCTAGCAGTAAGTAGGTACTCAGGAGTTAGTCAGCTTGTTACGGGGTTGCATCCTGGACGGGGTCAGTAATTCGGCCTTGGGGGGAGGGGGGGGAAGACTTCGATAAAATCCTAACGTCTATGAATACACTCTGGCTTCCTGTCCCCTGACACAACGAATTATATATTGTTCATTTTCTATCTTTCGCAGAGCGAGTGACACCATTAAAGAAAACGGATTACAAAGCACGAGATACTGCACTAAACACAAGATCAAACAAACATACATAGTTGTGCTTGCGGGGGTTAAGCTTTGGCTCTTTGGTCCCGCCTCTCAACTGTCAGTCAACTGGTGTACAGATTCCTGAGCCTACTGGGCTCTATCAAATCAACATTTAAAACTGCGTATGGAGTCTGTAAGAACCCACATGTGAGGTGGGTGCTATTGCAACCGCACAACAGTTACCTAACTCCCGGATCCCTATTTACAGCTAGGTGAACAGAGGCATCAGATGGAACAGTCAGTTGAGCTCGTTCTCGGCCCACAATCGGGAATTCCGGATTCGAATCCCAGACTAGATAGAAAATTAATACCATTGCTCTTCATTCTAAAGAGTATGAGATATAGATCCATATACATATACATATATATATATATATATATATATATATATATATATATATATATATATATATATATATATATATATATATATATATATATATATAATTTAGGTTAATTGTGTAAGTTTGTCAATTTTTTTAGTAAGAAGTTTTTAGTTTTTACAGTAAGTTTTTTGTAAGAAAAGTGCTGCCTCTCTCTCTATGTTGACACAGTTGGATACAGCAGAAGTTCTTCTGACGCCTGTTAGCAGGCTGAGAGCTCTCCCTTCCCATTGATCAGGAAATACTTTCCCTACAAGTTTTCCTTGTAACACAACCCCCCAATCAGTTTTACTCCCAGATAGGTCCCCAATTGCTGCAGGGTGAACACGAAGAGAACAGTTACGGATTGGTTCCCAGTCAATCCTCCCCAGGGTTTTCTCACGGGGTGAGTCTGTGTATATCTAACTACTAAACCAACCACTACACCAATCCCAAGAGGCCACCCACAACAGATCCCTAACTCCCGGGTGACCTATTTACTGCAAGGTGAAGAGAGTCATCAGGTGAAATAAAAGCGGCCCTGAGAGTTTACGATGATTTTTATTATTATTTTCTACCACAGACGTGGCCATACATTTACAATGCTAACCAGCATATATACATTTTCTTCTGTCCTCCATGTACAGGGTTAGAGATCTGTTAAACATATAGTTCAGTGATTTATTGCACAATCAACTACATAAGAAAAGTGCTGCTTCTCTCTCTTTGCAAGGTGATTGTAGTGCTTATAAAATGCTAATCTAACCTACATACATAGTCGTCGACGGTGGCAGCCGAGACTGCTGTGACGGCCAGACGGAAGGCGCGTCCTGTCTTCCTGTCTAGTGTTGCAAGGATGGTGATATGAATGACACATTGATGGTGATATGAATGTTGCAAAGATGGTGATATGAATGTTGCAAGGATGGTGATATGAATGACGCAAGGATGGTGATATGAATGTTGCAAGGATGGTGATATGAATGACGCAAGGATGGTGATATGAATGACGCAAGGATGGTGATATGAATGACGCAAGGATGGTGATATGAATGTTGCAAAGATGGTGATATGAATGTTGCAAGGATGGTGATATGAATGACGCAAGGATGGTGATATGAATGTTGCAAAGATGGTGATATGAATGACGCAGACTCGACACCTCGCTGGTTAACAGTCACCTTGGGTGTGCTCGGAATTTCTCTACTGGTTACCAGTGTGTGGGGAAGCCGAGTGTGGATGGGGGATAGGCGGTGTACGAGAGGGATGGGGAGTGGAGAGAGAATTGGACCAGGTGGGATAGAGGCGAGACGAGAGGGGAATAGAAGAGGGGAGATAATCTGGGATGAAAGTCGTGAAGAAATGGAGGAACAAAAGAAATAGGGAGGCGAGGGAGACGAGAGAATATGAGTAAAGCGAGACTTGAAGAAAGGAGGTGGGGGTAGAGGAGACTAAGTTCCGGATCAGCAGGGC